GACCATACGTGTGACAAGCCCAGTAAAGGATGGGGCAGAGTTGACATTCAAACATGGCTGCCGCTGCTGCTGTTGAGCTGGCTGGTGGTTCATCCAGGCACTGGGGAGGCCCCCCGCCAGTGCCTGCCCTTGAGGGGTGAGGAGCAGCGGGCTAGGCCACCGGAGACGGCCACTCAGCAGAAAGTTGTTTTCTGTGCACTCCTAGAAGCATCATCATATGGCAGGTGCTACAGTTTACCATGCTACGGTTGCTGGGTTGTCTGGGGGGACTTTTTGGAGGTTTTTTAGTGGTGAAATACCTGTAACATCAAATGAATCATCTGAACTGTTTTCAAGTGGCATTAAGTACATTCACGTTGTGCGACCATCCCCACCATCCATCCCAGAACTTTCCATTTTTCCAAACTGAAACTCCGTCCCATCAAACACTAGCTCCCCATTCCCCGCACAACCAGCCCCTGGTGTCCACCATTCTACTTTCTTTTTCTATGAATCTGACTCCTCTAGGTACATAATACAGGTGGAATTATACAGTGTCTGTCCTTTTGTGACTGGCTCATTTCACTTATAATGCTCTGTTTTATCCATGTTGTCACATGTGTTAGAATTTCCTTCCGTTTTAAGGCTGAATCATACTCCCTTGTATGTGTAGACCGCACTTTATCTAGCCATTCATTTGCCGATGGACACGTGGATTGCCCTTACCTCTTGGCTTTTGCGAGTCATGCTGCCATGAACATGGATATACAAATATCTTTTTAAGTTCCTGCTTCCAATTCTTTTGGGTATATACCCAGAAGTGGAATGCTGGACTATATGGTAATTCCATGTTTAATCTGTTGAGGAACCACCATCCTGTTTTCCACGGTGGCTGCACAACATCACCTTCCCACCAACAGCGCACCCGGCTGCCGTTTCTTCACACCCTCACCAACACTTGTTTTCTGCTTGGTTTTTTTATAGTAGCCATTCTAATGAATGTCAGGTGGTACAGGCTAGTTGCGCTTTTTTTTTTAAGTAGGCTGCCCACCCGGCATGCAGCCCAATGTGGGCCTTGAACTCATGACCCTGAGAGCAAGATCTGAGCTGAGATCAAGAGTTGGACGCTTAACTGACTGAGCCACCCAGGCACCCCTAGCTGCACTTTTTTCCATCTCATTCTTGCAGGAGTTATAACTTATAGCTCTTCTAGTCATTATTCCTTGCTCTTGGCTCTATTCACCCCCCAGCACCCCAAACACGAACAGGAATTGTCCTCTCAAAATTATGCCTGGTGGCTGCATCCAGCATTTCCAAAGGGCTCAGTACCACATAGGGAAATGTGCTGGATGAAGCTCTGCACTGGGAGCCAGGGGGCTTGGGGACAGCCCCAGGCCTGCCCCTCTGCAGGTCTGTGACCACGAGCAAGTCACTCCCCTCCCGGGCCTGCTTCTTGTCCGTTAAAATTGAAACAATACCAACATCTTAGCTCCCTTACAGAATCGGAGCCCTAGAGATAAAAAGGCTCCCGGAAAGTCTACAGCAATAGCAAAACCTCTGGGTTTGTCAAGATCTAAAAAAAAATCAGAAGAGAAAAGGGGTGGGCCCCTCCTTCTTAGTAATACACGTAGGCGATCTCGGAGCTCAAGTTCATGGAAACAAATTGAATTACGTAGGAGGCAGCTCTGCCATTTGCAACCATGGATTGTTTGAAATCCTTTTAGAGGAAAATTAAAATATTTCACAGAGGGTAATAAAATGCCGGGTATTTTGAAGGCATAACTGTTCAGCTCTCTTGGGCTAATAAGTAATTAGGCATTTTTATTTAAGTCCTCCGTGTTGTCATTTTCTTTCATTAGTGGAGAGGGGAGAAAAACTGTTACGAAAAAGACATAAAATTCTGGAAGTCACCAGAAGGTTAATTATAAAAATACAGAAAAAATTAAAAGTAAGAGGGATGCCTAGGTGACTCAGTCGGTTGAGCGTCCGACTCTTGATTTCGGCTCAGGTCATGATCTTGGGGTCGTGGGATGGAGCCCCACAACCGACTCAGTGCTCAGCAGGGAGTCTGCGTAGGAGTCTCCCTTTCCCACTCCCTCTGCCCCTCCCCCCACATGCACGCTCTCTCTCTCTCAAATAAATAAATCTTTTTAAAAAATTAAAAGTAAATAAATAAAATATATAATTTTTAAAATCACAACATTACACCATACTACAGAGACAAAGGGAAAGTGCTTCGAATTTATTTTTGCAAACATCAGAAATGGGAAGCTGTACCAAAGTTTCCTTTGCTTCCAAATCCAGTCCCACCAAAGAGCTCAGGAGTGGGGAGCCTTCTAAGGCCCCTGGTGCCAGAGACATAGTTCTGCCTGGCGTGGGAGCAGGGAGGGTGTCCTGAGCCTTGTTCCTGCCCAGGGCCCTCAGCTGCCACTGAGGCGCCACACCTCTGCCTCATTGCACCATCCCTCACCACAATCCACTTGAAGAAAAGGGTTGAAAGGGGTCGTTTTTTCTCTCAGCTAGAGGTCATCTGTTCTAGTCTCTCCATTTTATAAACAGAGAAACTGAGGACATGGGCTTAAGGCTCTGTCCTTCCTATGAATTATCAATGCCAGTGACTCCACAGCGCTGGGATCGGCTCCCTAGGCCTGAGCCCTAACTGTGGAAGGGGGAGTGAGCCAGGGCCATGTCCAGTCGCTGTCCTGTCCCCCACACAGTTGGTCCGTGCCAGCATCTTCCAGATCCCACTTTCTGCCTGTCCAGGAAGTCCTTTTGAGCAGCATGATGGGGGCTGAGGGTGAGGATGCAGAGTTCCTGGACTAGGTTGGTCTGAGACCCACAAAAAGCCACTAATGCCGGGGGGGTGGGGATGGAACAGGCAGGTTTGTAGGTAGATATTCCTCTTCTAAATCTCTCTAGGGTTTGGGTTTATTTGTGGTGGCTTTTAGCATCCCCAATGCCACCTCCACCCAAGACGCTTCATAAAAGTAATTTTATGCAAGGAGTATATGCATGTATGTGGGGGTACAGGTGGGACGTGAGTTATAGGAACCTCCCACAGCCTCCGGCTAATCCCACAATTCGCCCATATGGAGGCCTCTTGTTCTTACCTATTAACCTGTGCCTCTCCCACCACTCTGGTCTGCATGGAACCATCCAGCCAACACTTAGTAAGTGCCTACTGTGTGCTGGGCTCTGTGCTGGTCCTGAGAACATAGCAAGGAAGAGAATACAATAACTGCTTTACTCAGGGGGAGACAGACCCATGAAGCAGTTTTCAAAAACACGGAGATATTTGAGCTGGCCCTTAAAAAAGCAAGGAGGAGTTTGCCTGGCAGGAAAGGGGAGAGGAACAGCAGGGCAAAGGCACAGAGGCATGAAACTGGTCATGTTCAGGCAGCCACACGACGAAGTGAGAGTTGCTGGGGGAGAGGTGGTCAATGATTTCGCCAAGCCCCCAGGGTGGGGGTTTGTGTTCATGCAGCCCCGCACCTGGCAGAGGGCCAGCACTTAGCCAGTGCTGAAGAATGTATGCTAAATCAGTGAGTGGAGAGAAGGAAAAGAGGAAAGTAAATGGCGGCTTAGTCATAGAATGGAATTGATAGAGCAGGGGGAAAAAGAACAAACTAGCTAGAATAAACACAAGTGATCCTCAAAATGTAGTTACATGAATAAACAAGTTTTCGAAGAATGTGTACAGTCCCCTTACATGAAGTTTTCAACATGCATAGCAGCACTGCCCATACATGCATACAGACAAGGTTAAGCTACATGTAATTGAGCATGTTGACTTACAATAGCAGTTTCATTTGGCTGAACCTAAATTGAGCTCACAAGGGACAGTGCATCCATAGCATGGAATACTACTTGGCACGGAAAAGGGACAAGCTCTTGACACACACAACTTGCCTGGACCTCGAGGAGATGATGCTGAGTGAGAAGAACGCAATCTTCAAAGGTTTCACATACCGTATGATTCCATGTATATAACAAGCTTGAAATGACAAAATTATGAAGATAGAGAACACATTAATGGGGGCCAGGGCCAGGGAGGGAGTGGGAAGGGAGGTGACTGCTGCTTTGAAAAGGGTGGCACAGGGATTGGATCCTTGTCATGAACTGTTGCTGCGTATCTTCACGGTGGTGGTCACAGGAATCCACACACGAAGCATTGCATAGAACTAAGCACATACACACGAGTGCATATAAAACCGGTGAAATCTGAGCAAGGTGGGTTCGATTACCTCAGTGTCCGTGTCTTGGCTGTGAGGTACTATAGTCACACGGGTGAGCACTAGGGGAACCTGGATGAAGGGTGTGTGCCATCTCTCTGTACTATTTCTTATTGCATGTCAGTCTAGAACTAGCTCAAAATAAAAATTTAAAACACTCACAGGGTAGGGGCTCCTGGATAACTCAGTTGGTTAAGTGTCCGACTCTTGGTTTCAGCTCAGGTCGTGATCTCAGGGTCTTGAGATCGAGCCCCACAGTGGGCTCCTCACTGGGCATGGAGCCTGCTTAAGATTCTTTCTCTCCCTCTCTCTCTGCCCCTCACCCCTGTTCTCTCACTCTCGCTCTCTCTAAAGTAAAAAAATAATAAATAAATCGTTAAAAATTTAAAAAACACACACATAGGGTAATAATTCATGCCACTTTTAAGACAGAGGTTCTTTCTGGGACAAGGGTGGATTCTGCAGACAGGGAGGGACACACAGGGGGACTCACCTTTATCTGTCATGTTTTCCTTCTCAAGGAAGAAAAATCTGAAGCAAATAGGGCATAATGCTCAGGCTCTACAAAGCTGAATGGAGAGTACATGAGTGTTTCTTTTCTTATTGTCTATCCAGCTTGTAGGTTTGAAAGAGTTCATAGTTTTTAAAAAGCTGATCTTGCTTAACTCCTTTCATCCAGAGCCAGGAGAGGAGAGGGCTGAGGGTGCAGGTGGTGGGGAAAGGGGACAGCCCAGCCCCGGGGCCTCGGAGGCTACCCCCTGTGAGCCACCCCGGCCTCTCTCCCCACAGCCCCCAGAGAAGGAGGGTGCCCTGCCTCGGCAAGTGGGCAACAAGACGGAGTGCGGCCTGCTGGGCTTCGTGCTGGACCTGAAGCAGGACTACGAGCCCGTGCGCAGCCAGATCCCGGAGGAGAAACTGTACAAGGTGTACACCTTCAACTCCGTGCGCAAGTCCATGAGCACAGTCATCAAGCTGCCCGATGAGAGCTTCCGCATGTACAGCAAGGGCGCTTCCGAGATCGTGCTCAAGAAGTAAGCTGCGTGTGGGAGGTGGGAGGGGAGGAGGGGGGCGGGGAGCGGGGGACCACCAAGTCGTGCAGCACGGGCTGTCCTGCAGCCTGGGCTGGAGGGTCATCTGGCACCCAGAGGTGCAGGGGAGGCCCTGCCCAACGTCCCACAGCAGGACCACCTCCAGGTGCTTTCTCCACTATTTCCTCTTAAAACTTTCTACAGAGAGCCCTCCCTTCCTCCTCCCTACATCACTGAATCACCAGAAGTTCCACCCAGTGTCACTGTTAAATCTCCCTTATTTCACTTCCCTTAGCACAGAGATGGTTGACCATAGTGATGTTCGTTATTAGCCAGTCTACTCTGGCTCCAGGTGCCAGAGATAAGCCTAGAGATCTAAGCAAGTCACTCCCGGTCTCTGGACCTCAGTTTCCCCACTCATACCTTGATGGGATTGGTCTAGCCCAGTGGTTCTCAACTCTGGCTACACATTGGAATCACCCAGGGAGCTTTTAAAAAACCACTGATACGGGGCACCTGGGTGGCTCGGACACTTAAGCATCCGACTCTTGATTTCAGCTCAGGTCATGATCTAAGGGTGGTAAGATCGAGCCCTGTGTTGGGCTCTGCACTGGGCGTGGAGCCTGTTGAAGAGAGAGGCTCTCTCTCCATCTGCCCCTCCCCCCCTCTAAAAAAATAATAGAAATAAATTGGAACCTTTGGGGTAGGGCTCACACATGGGTATTTATTTATTTGGTGTTCCCACCAAGCTATTCTAATGTGCAAGCAAGGTCCAGAACCACTAGTCTAGGTTTCATGCCCTTTGAAAACCATTTTAGCTGTGGAACTATTTTTTCAGATGAAATCTTGTGAATATAAGACAGATCAAACTAGATGTGCTCTTGCTGAATGGACTGGGGCAGATATTTCAAGAAGGCTGCCTGATTTCTTTTTGGCTGGTCCTGATTTCATCCCTGCCTGGGGCCCAGGGGCCTGGACCAGTCCTGAAGCATTATGGGAGATGAACTGGACAGACACTGGATGACCAACCACAGCCAGATGGGCATCACTGGGGAGGGGGAGGTGAGCGCGAGCTGGTCAGAGGGAGGATCCTTGGGCCTTGGCTGGACCTTACCCATCTCCCTCCCATCCGCCCCCAGGTGCTGCAAAATCCTCAGTGGGGCAGGGGAGCCCCGGGTCTTCCGGCCCCGTGACCGGGACGAGATGGTGAAGAAAGTGATCGAGCCCATGGCCTGCGATGGGCTCCGAACCATCTGTGTGGCCTACCGTGACTTCCCCAGCAGCCCCGAGCCCGACTGGGACAATGAGAATGACATCCTCAATGACCTAACCTGCATCTGTGTGGTGGGCATTGAGGACCCCGTGCGGCCCGAGGTAAGCCCCCTACCAGCAGGCTTGGAGAGGCTGGGAGTCCAGCCTGCTGGCAAGCTAGCTTAAGTTGCCTCACCTCTCTGAGCCTCTCTGAGCCTCAGTTTCCCTGTAGCATCTACAAGGTTTTCTCTTTACCTACTCCTAAATGCTCAAACTCGTAAGACCAGCACAGGCCACGCTTGGCATCAGTCTGCTCAGGACATCAGGCAGCCTGACAGCAGGCATTGCTTTGCCACGGGAGCAGCCCTAGAGCCATCCGCCCAACCATCCAGAAACCTCCCCGTGTTCCCAAGGGACAAGCATGGGAGCTGCCCTGCCTTAGAAGCCTCTTGCCCCATAGGAGCCAGGATCTCCTATAACACATCCATAGGCCTGGGTTCCAGGGTCCCCGTAAAGGAGAGACCCAGAAACTAAGGTCACCGGTATTCAGGAAAACCCCCAGTGTGATGTCACATCAGCAGGTAGAGATCTGTCCATTCAGATCCAGTTTCCCAACCTAGCAGGCTTGCACAGTGACGCAGCCTATAGTCTCGCTTTGTTAGGTCTCCAGGGGCACAGAGATAGAAAGTTATCCAAAGGTCAGACTCTCAGGCAGAAGAGAAGAGGGATGACAGCACCCCTCTCGGGAAGGACCAAGGAAGGTGATATAGTAAATGCACCTAATGGAGTGCTCAGCTCACACAGGTCTTCAGTCTCCTCTAGCTGCGTCTGTACCCGGCAGGAAGACAGAATTCAGTGCTGGGGATTGGCAGGGTTGGGGGAGGATGGACATGGGTGCTCAGTCAGATTGCCCAGGCTAGAGAGGCTGTAAGAAGAGAGGGCTGCCTCGAATCTCCAAAACATTGCTGTGGGCAGGCAGAGTGAGTCCTCACCCTGGGGAGTCCCAGAGGGCAGAGCCCAGGAGAGGCCGGCCTCCACGTCATCGGAGGACTAACCCAGCTGCTGGGCCCAGGCCTGATTTCCAGGCCAGCAGGGACTGGGCCCACGTTGGCCCCGGCCGTGGAATTCAGTGATAGGGCCTCTCAGGGCCACCTTCCTCCACCAGAGGCAACTTCATTGCTCCCCACCTGTCCTGACACCATTCCCTAGGGGCCGCTTGCTGTTCCCTGCTCCTTATGGAGCCTCCATTTCCCCTTTTTTCCAGTGAAAAGGGGTAGACAAGGTGTTTTCCAAATTCCCAGCCCTGATATTCTAAGAGTCTGTGTTCCAAAGACCAAGTGAGACTAGAATGTCACAGACATGGACTTTCACATTTCGGCAGCAAGGAGAAGCATCGTCAGGAGTGTGAGCTCAGGCATCGGACAGACCTGGGATCCTGAGTCCCAGCATTACTGGCTGTGTGACCTTGGGCCAGTTACATAACCTTCTGAGCCTCTGTTTCCTCATCCGTAGACTGGGGATAATAATAGTATTCTCCACTCACACACACCCCAGGATACTATGAGGTATCATGTGCATGACAGATCATGCACATACAAGGAACAGGCAGTGTCAGGCAGGAGGTAGATGGCCTGTAAATATGGCTCCCCTTCCTCTGTGCCCCTCCCCAGTAGATTCATAACTCTGGATCCAGTGACAGGTAACAACCCCTAACACAGAGCCTGGCCTATGAAAGGTGCTCATTTAAGTGTGGAATGAATGAATGAGAATGAATGGGACTTGAACACCAATCTTCCAGGACTATGCCTGGTACTCATCTCTCACGCCCCCTAGAGGCCCCCACAGGCCTCCTCACTCCCACCCAGAGCCTAGAGCAGCCAAGGCAATTTGTCCCCAGGTAATTTGGCCCTGGAGCCATATGTGTTTTCCTGCAGACTGTGTCTCTCCCTGAACAGACAGGCCATTTATCAGCCTCCCCATGGGATGCCCTCTCATTACCAGCCGCTAATGGGTTCAGGCTTCCCATGACAGTTTATCTCCTTACAGTCTCCACATAGCAGATGAGGCCAGCCTGCGGCTCATTCCCAGAGCTCCTAGCCTATCACCCTGCCTCAGAAGCATCCCCGAGGGAGGGTGGGAAGCAGCATCAGACACATACTTTTTTTGGTCATGACCTGTGCTAATAACAAATGTATTTTATGTCATGACCCAATAAGCACATACACTTAACCAAAATAAGGATGTCACAAAGTAATGTGATGCACTTGTAAGTATTTTCTATTTTCTTCTACCTCTTTCTCTTTTTTTAATGCTAGTCACCACCCGCTAAACTGATTTGACAATCCACTAAAGGGGCACGACTGCAGGATTGAGCACTGTTGACCTAGACCAAGCGCTTCCCCACGGCCCCAGTGTGCAGGCGAAAACACTGAGGCCAAGCAGGGACAGTGATGTTCCCCAAGTCTCGCTGTAAGTGGCTGAGCAAATCCAGATTAGAACAGGTTTTCCGCCTTCCTGTCCCAGGCCCTGCTCCTGGGTGCCACAGAAATGAAAGGGCAAGTGGTTCTAAGTCAGGAGTGTGAGGAGAGGGAAGACAGGGCCTGAGAAGGGTTTAGCTGGGTCCCTGGCATGTTCCGCTAACATCATGATTATCCAGAGAAGCTGGCTTCAGGCACACACTTCAGGCAAAGACTCCCAGCAGGGCTGGGAGCACTTTCATCCTGCAGGGCCCTACATTGGAGAAAGGGGGCCTGGATCCAAGCCCCAACTCTGTCACTCACAAGCCACTTCCCCTCTCTGTGCCTTGGTCTTCTGATCTGTAAAATGGGAGGTTGGCCCAGATGCCCCTCAGGTCCCTGCCAAGCTCCAACATTCTGAGCTGGCTGATGGGAAGGCTTTCCCTGACAACTTTCTTTGCTTCCGTCAAGTGAGCGCATCCTTGATGGTGACCTCCTCTCTCCCCTGGGCTCTCCCCCAGGATGTAGATTTCGATGTTGTAAGCTGTGTTGGGGAGCAGGGACTTACTAGGGTGACAAAGCAGGGTCAAGGGACACGGGTTCTAATCCCACTCCTAACACTCCCTCACAGAAAGCCTTCAGGTGCATCTCTTCCCTGGGTCTCCGTTTCCCCAACCAAACAATGAAGAGTTGGACATTCCCAAGTGAGGGACACCAGCAGGGTTGCTGGTGACACTGCTTGGAAGTATAAAAGCTCTGACCTGTTGATTCAGGATTTCCTAGTAGGGTGGGGATGGCTTTTGATTTATTTGGGTTTTAGGCTGGGGGATTTATACACACGGAGCCAAATTCCAGTGGTTCAATACCACAGACAAGATGAAGTAACCTCCCATGCCACCCCCAGGCCCCTGGTTCCCGCCTCACAGGCAGCCACCGTCACCAGCTTCTTGGGTGACCTTAGGGGAGTATCTATGCCTACAGTTTGGGGCAGGCTCTCCCAGGCAACCCTGAGGCTGGCCGGAGCAGAAGCCTCAGCCTGGGCCACCTCTAGGGTCCTACAAACATTTTCAGATTCCTTCTGCAACTGCCATTGGAACACAAACTACCTCCCTCAGTTTTCTCATCTGTCAAGGGGACAAATCACGTTGTCTTCCTCCCATGAGAAGACAGAAGACGGAACGGATCAAAACAGGCTTGCCGATCATCCCCCAGACACATATAAGACGCTGCCTCGGGTACATTTTCTGACACTGACTAAAGCCACTGCGGATAAAGCCATAAGAAGAGCAGCAGTCTGGGATTTGCCAGGTTATCGGGGGTATTTAGAGCCCTTGCAGTCACAGAGGATGGGTGTCACCAGCAACAACAGATGTTTAAAAGCCTTCATTTAATGAAAACAGGAAGCGCCCATTTTCTGGCTGTTTTTCCTCCGTGAGAAAACTCTTGGATAATTTTAGCAAAAATTTTTTTTTAATTTTACAGCTATTTTGTCTATGTGGAAAGTATATTTCAACCAGATCGGTGCCTCTGTGGCTTGTCTTAATCATCTCTGGATCCTCAGTGCCCAGAGCAGCTAGATGTTCAGTAGCTATTTGTCAAATGAATGAACGAGTGACCAATACAAGGAAATGCAGAGTGCAGTTTAAGGAAGCACCCCATTGGGTTGGAGGAGTCCAGAATGGCTTTATGAGTAGAGGGCATTTCACCTGAAAGAGGGAGAGACTCCCAGATTACAGGAGAGAGGGTGTTCTAGGCGGAGGGAACAGCGCAGGCAAACGCAGATGGGTGAGAGTCTAGTGAATACCCCCGTTGGATTTATGAGAGAAATGGGTAGGAGGGGAGCCTGGAGCTAAATTGTGAAGGGTTGGCATGTCCCCATCCAAATCCATTCACCAGGCTTTGAGGGGCTTAAGCAGAGAGATGTTTCATGATGACCCGTGTGCCCTGTGCCTGGCCCCTGGATGGGTCCTGAGCAGTCAGCGGTCCCTGCCTTCTGGAGCCCACAGCCTAATGAAATGTCCAGTGAAAGGGGACGAGTAAGCAGACCCATAGCACATGCGAGCGTAAAGCCAGACTGAAGTACAACAAAGACGTCCAGTTACAGGGCCCACTGCCCAGAAAGGTGGCCGAGGAGGCTCTCGGGTGTGTCCAGGTCCATCTGGAATCCCCCCACAGGTAGGTCACAGGCCTCTAAGGTACCTGACTCAGGAATCATGGTGGCGTGCCCACACCATCCCACCACCCCAAACAAATGGCTGCCTCCCCCCATCCCCAGACACCAGCTGTGCCCCACCCCCCACTGTATCTGCTTCCATACCCTCAACATCTCTCCCCATCTCCCGGAGCAGAAAGAACAAGCACAGAAGACCATGGTCAGGTGCATTGCCAGGCACCCTACCCCCCACCACCAGCATCTATTGTTCCCGTGATTGGTGCCCTTTGCCCCCATCACAGCATCGCCCAGCCTCGCTGAGGGGTGCAGACTATCATCCCCACTTTATAGGTGAGGAAGCCAACACTCAGGTGGATCCCCAGGGCAAAGCCCAACCCAGCCTTTTGGCCCCTGAGCCCTCTCCCCCAAGGGCAGAGAAGCCTCCACCACACAGAGGAAAGTGTGGGGGCCAGAAAAATTAGCTGCCTCCTTTTTCTCCCCAAGCCAGCTTGTTTTGGGGAACCCCAGAGGGTGGGAATTCCAAGCAGTCAGATTTCGGCTCCCTGAGACAGCCTTAAAAGCGTTAAGTCTTTCTAAAACACGGTACCAGACACCTCGTCCCCAGTTCAGAACTTACATGGCCCCCAGGCCTGGTACCAAGCCCCTGATTCCAGCACCTTCTGACCGCAGGCCCTTCTCCAGCTTCATGGCCACTGGCTCCTGCCTCACATCTTCCTCAGCCTCAGCCCCTCCAGATCACCTGTCACGCTCTTTCTACTGCACCTTCCCAAATTCTCTGCCAGTGCATCTCATGGGACACTTTTCTGTGGCCCGGGCCACAGTGAAGTGGTCATCTGCATAGCTCCAGCCTGGGCACAGTGCCAGGTGCCAGAGCCTCAGTTAGTGTTGGCTGAACAGAAGCAGCTCAAACATCCCCTTCTCCAGGAAGCTTTCCCAGATTTCTCCTCTCCATCTACTTCTTTCTGAAGGAATGGCACCTTCCTCTGTGCTCCCAGAGCCCTTTGTACAGAGATCTTTACCAAAGCCCCTGCCTCCTACAAGAGTACAAGTCAGACCCAGACCACCTGCTCTCATCTGAAAGAAGAATGATTATGTGAAAGGGTATGATAGACTTGTTCCACTGTGGAATGGTCAGCCTTGGAGTGGGTGAGCACCCCGTCATCAGAAGCCTGCAAGCAGAGGCTGGCTGGCCATCCGTGGGATGCCTAGCTGGAGATCTGGGCAACGAGCAGAAAGTCAGAGAGTCATGACCTGAAGCCCCTTCCAACTCCAAGACCCCAAGCGTCTTTGAATCAAACATAACCTGGGGCGCCTGGGTGGCTCAGTCGTTAAGCGTCTGCCTTCGGCTCAGGTCATGATCTCAGGGTCCTGGGATCGAGCCCCACATCGGGCTCCCTGCTCAGCGGGAAGCCTGCATCTCCCTCTCCCACTCTCCCTGCTTGTGTTCCCTCTCTCACTGTGTCTCTCACTGTTAAAAAATAAAAAAAATTAAAAAAAAAAATCTTGAATCAAACATAACCTGAATTATTCCTTTGAAGGCAGGAGCCAGATAAGGTGTATGTCCCCTAAAGAGCAGTGGTTCTTTCCTTTCCCCTGGAACAGGAGACAGCAGGGGGCTGCCGTCCCAGTTATAGCCATGGGGAGGACATCAATAAATTATGTAGGCAGGATGTTGGACGTTCCACATCCCCGCTCCCTCTGGCTCTGTACAAAGAGGTCACGTTCGCCTGGATGAGCCGCCGCTGTGGCACGAGGCAGAGGCCTTGCTCACATGGCCCCCAAGCCCTGAGGGGGCACCAGAAGCCTTGTCCCTAGGCCCTGGAAATGCACCCAGAGGAGACCTGTGGTCCGCTTACCCTGCTCCAGCCCTGGGGACGAGGAGATCACTACCTGTCACCACAGAGCTGGTCTCTAATACCATTCTGGGAGCTGGAGGGGCCTCCTGACCTTGGCCTCTTCACGGCATTTGTTCCTTGCTCTGCCACAAGATGACCGTGCTCGGGAGTCTTGATTTTCTCTACAAGCAGCAAGGGGGAGCCCCCGAAGGAGAGTGACACCCAGGCGGAACTTTAGGCAGGTCGCTGGTGGTCAGGTAGGAGAACGATGGAAGAGGGGCAAGGCCGGAGGCAGGGAGACTGGGGAGGGGCTGGGCAGTGACCCCAGCTTGGAACGTGGTGCTCTGTGCTGAAGGAACAGCAGGTGCTGTGGATGGAGGAGGACAGAGGCTAAAGATTTTCAAGATCAATCCTTGTTTTTAAAATTCCTAAGGGCAGGAAGGGGACCAGTGGGCAGGAGCTGTCCACAGTCAGGTTTTGAACCAATGTTCTAATTCTTATATGAGTTTGCTGGGGCCTCCATAACAAAGTAGCACAGATTGGGGGCCTCCAACAACGAACTGGACTGCCTTACAGTTCTAGAGGCTGGAAGTCCAAGATCACGGTGTTGGCAGGGTTGGTTTCTTCTGAGGGCTGTGAGGGAGAATCTGCTTCAGATCTTCTCCCCACCCCCAGGGCCCACACCCCCCCAAGGTCAAGGGGGTTTGCTGGGAATCTTCAGCGTTCCTTGACTTGTGGCAGCAACACCCAATCTCTGCCTTCGTCTTCACATGACATTCTCCCTGAGTGCGTTTCTGGGTCCAAATTTCCCCTCTTCATAAAAACCCCAGTCACACTGGCCGAGGGCCAACCTACCGACCTCAACTTGATTACCTCTATAAACACCCTATCTCCCAGTAAGGTCACATTCACAGGCATTGGGGGTTAAGACTTAAATGTATTTGGGGTGGGTGGCCACAGTTCAGCCCATAACAGTCTGCAGACCCTCTCAGCAGTGGTTTGGCAGAGTGGGAATGGGGGTGAGCTCCCCAGGCACTATGATATGCAAGAGGAGTGGGAGTCAGACTCCACCTTTCCAAGCCTGAGATTCTAAAGTGCTTTGGTCTTCTGGTATAACTAGATTTTCTGCCCTTCATATGTCCTCTTCAACTCAAAGACGTTTTGCAGCAAATAGCAAATCATACCTTATTATTTTATCATTGGTCACTGCCCATGGGTCAGAATCCCTTGTTCAGTTGATCTGGGTTGTGTGTAAAGGCCTACAGCGGCTCCAGGCTGGTTTCTGCATCCTAATTGCTGGGCAAATAAATCCACAGCTCTGCATTGGAGCAGGGAGGGGGGCTGGTGCTTACCCCCTTCTGACTGGCTGGGTCTACTCTGGCCTGATTGGCCCAGACATCAGTCTGTCATTACAGTCAGGGAGGGCAGGAGGCAGTCCTTACTCTCTCGTGGCAATGTCCTATTTTGCATGAAGTATAGTCATTTGTATTTATTCTAAGGCAGTGTCACATTCTGTAAATGAAATGCTCCCAAATGTAGTGTCCCGCCAACCCCCACACACACAAAAAAAAGAACTGAAAATACGTGAGCATTATTTCTCATTGAGTTTGTAGGAATTGTGCATGTGGATAAAGCAGGGACACATTCCTCTGCAATTGTAGAGTGTTCTACCCCTGCCTGGTGTGTTATTGAGGTCTTTCTCAAAGTCCTTGCCCAGATCAGGATAACCAGTGGTTTCATGTTAGAAGGGACCATCACAGTGTTAGGTGGTAGCTGCCTGGGACTCTACTGAGAATTCTGAGACCACATCAGGGTTTAATCATCGGATTCTGTGATTGATTAATAATGCCTGCCATGGGCACAGGAAGGAAAGAGATGGTCTGCATGCCATATGTGCTGTCAGTATCTCATGGTCATGCAGGCCCCTTCCACTGGAGCTGCCTGTGAACAGGGCTCACTCTGGAATCCATAAGGGCGGTGAGGGCCTGCCCTAGGAGCACTCATCCCCATTGCCCCTGCCCTCCCGCCAGGTTCCAGAAGCCATCCGCAAGTGCCAGCGGGCAGGCATCACCGTCCGCATGGTCACTGGTGACAATATCAACACGGCCCGGGCCATCGCCATCAAGTGTGGGATCATCCATCCTGGGGAGGACTTTCTGTGCCTGGAGGGCAAGGAGTTCAACCGGAGGATCCGCAATGAGAAGGGGGAGGTACGTGCCCAGCACAAGGAATCCTCAGCGGGATGAGCTGGGGGGGGGGGGGCTGGGAGGCATGGGGGCCACATGACTGTACAGAGACCAGCCAGTGTGCCACTCAGAGCCCGGTGACTTTGGGTGAGTCCTCTCCCTTCTCCAGGCCTCAGTTTCTCTCTGACCCCCTCCCCCATCCCTCTCCAGATTGAACAGGAGCGAATTGACAAGATCTGGCCAAAGCTCCGGGTGCTGGCTCGCTCCTCCCCCACGGATAAGCATACCCTCGTCAAAGGTAAGACTGGGGGGGCAGTTCTGAGGCCAGAATCTCCTCCTCTCCTGGTGCCTGCAGCTTCTTTCCAGGACAGAGGGCTTTTGCACAGGGCTCCCCACACCTGGCAACATCCTTGCCTCACCCCATTGCAGCCCTGGGAGTCCCTCTAAGGACCACAGGGAGATGGGGAGGTTGTGAGTCTTCTCTGTGGGTTCCACTTCTTCTAGGAAGCAATGGGACTGGGCCTGTCTAGGTCCAAAACTCTTAGCTTGAGGGTAAAATAGGGCCCACAGACATGTTGTATTTGGCTGGTATAGTGCTCTTTTTTATGTTGAATTTGAGTGGGTTTATACAGACTCTCCCCTCACATTTGAATCCATCTTCACCACTCCTTATTGTCTGTCATCCAGTCCATTTCACTCATTTATGTTCTCAGTCTGGCCCCGGAGCTTGTGAGCTTGAGATCCTTGGTCTGCCTGGTCTCTGAGGACCCCAACCAACATCTGTAATGGGGACCCCAAAGGTGGGCCATCCTGGGAATAGCAGCCTGAGAGATGAGGCCAAAAGCTAGCATCCTTCTCCTTCCCTGTCTTCCTCCAGAGAGAGGGCATACCACTTGTTGAGCCCAGGTCGGTGGCCAGGTGCTGGGCCCTTTTAGAGTCATACAGCCCTGGCTTCAAGTCCTGGCTCGGCCACTAACCTGTTCTATACCCTTGGACAAGTCCGTCCTCTTCTGGGACTCAATTCTTCCATCTTTAAAATGGCCATAGAAGGGCAGGTTTCTGGCTGAGGTCATCCCTAGGGCATCTTGGATTCCTCTCCCAAAATGCTGCCCAAGGACATTAATAGAGGCAGATCTGGCTTGGGGACAGAAACACAGCACCCCAGAATCACAGATACCAGAGCAGGAGGCCCCCCAACCTATCCCCATTTCTTTTTCAATCACTCACTCATTTGTTTACTCATTCTCTTGATACGTGTTTTTGAAGGATCTACTAAGTGCCAGACCCAGCTCTTGGCAGACATAGTCCTTCCCTCTTGAAATTCATGGTCCAGATTCCATCCAGCAGACATTAAATAGGTTTCCTTGCACACACCTAGAGCCTGTATCGGTGGAAGAGAAGGGTGGGGCCCTCTGTTGGCCTCTCACTCAGGCTGGGGATGGATGTCACATCATAGGCCATTAAAGGTGGGTTGAGGGTCCCGGAGAAAGGGCCTGTGTTTCAGGCGGGGCAGAGAACTGCACTATGAAAGACCAGAGGCAAAGATTTCCAGATACCTTCAAGAAGTGGAAAGAAGCTCACTTGGCCAGGCAGGAGGAAAATTTGGCCCCCTCCCTGCTCTGGAGGAGCATGTAGGCAGGTGGAGGGACCCGGCAGTAATGAAGGTGACAAATGCCTAGTAGACACAGGCTGGTGGCTGAATCTTGGCTGGGGACTTGGACTGCCGCCAGCTGGGGGGAGCAGCCCGGGACAACTCCCAGAGCACATGGCCTTGGAGCTGGACCTGAAGAGGGCGGAACTTGAACACATGCAAAGGACTGGGGGGTGGTTGCGGCTACAAAGGCTTCTCAAGTCTCGGGTCCCATTCCCTCCCTCATCCCACGGGCTGCTGCTTGCCAGGACAGGACAGGGAGAGACACATACAGGAGCTACGGTGATCTGATGAGGGTAGGTGAGCGTCCTCGGGGAGTCACTTTCCCCAGGGGGCGTGGCATCTGAGCTGAGACTACAGGTGCAGGACAGGCACAGCTGGCGGGGGACAGCCCAGGGAGACAGGGGCGAGGGAGCCGGCTTTGCAGACGGAGAGCCATTCCTATGACTGGAGCACAGATTGGGGGCGGCCAGGGATGAGAGATGAGACGATCAGAGAATGAGTGAGGCCTGACCACCAGGGACTTCGAAATTTCTGAATGGAGCTAAGAACATGGATGTCACCCTGAGGCCAGCGTGGGGAGTGAGAGAATGATTCTCAGCTTGGGGGAGGGGACAGGTCAGTTCCAGGGGTTCGAGAGAAATCCCAGCGTTGCTGTGCAGAGTGAACAGGTAGCCTGGGGTTGGTGGGGAGCAGGGGGGATGCTAGTGGCAGAGGGGATGGGGACAGAGAAAAGTGAAATGGTTCCCGTGGGATCTTGGAGCAGAATCCACAGGCCTTGGTTATGGATGTGAGGTGCAGGATGAGAGAGGGACATGCCAAGAGTGACATTCAAATTTCTGTCCTGTCCATGGACATATCAAATTCCACATGTGTCCAGTGATGACATCTTTCACCCGCCCTTTCCACCGGCCCCAGCTCAGTGACAGGGCTACATGCCATCTCTTTATTCTATTTGTTGAATCTTTTCTTTTTATTTATTTTTTATTCTTTTTTTTAAGATTTTATTTATTTGAGAGAGAGAATAAGAGAGAGAGAGTGGGCTGGGGGGTGGAGAGGAGCAGAGGGAGAGCGAGAAGCAGACTCCCCGCGGAGCAGGGAGCCCGACATGGGGCTCGATCCCAGGACCCCAGGATCATGACCTGAGCCGAAGGCAGACACTAAACGGACCCAGCCACCCAGGCGCCCCTGAATATTTTATTGAGGGTGAATGTCTGGAGAGAGGTCAAGGCCAGTTGATAGGTCAGGGGTCGTTGGCAAATGGCACAGCCCAGGCCTCCTCAGGAGTGACTGGGCCCCCAGGTAGAAGGTGCTGGGGGAGCAGATGGTGGGAGAACAGAGGAGCTCCTGGAACCCAGGCAGAGGGGCAGGTGTTTCCAGCTGGGGTGGCCACCGGTGTGGCCAAGGGCTGCAGAGAGGGAAGAGTGTGCTGGAGAGGCCGTCGGGGCCCAGACCACAGAGGGCCACAGCCAGCACGGGGCTCAGGTGCCCAACATGCCCTGCAGGTGGGCAAGCCTGGAGCTGGGGAGAGTCACAGCAAGAGGAGGGGGGGGAGGCAGGGCAGGGGCCAGAGGGGAGGCTGGGCCCGGCCGGGGTCCTCCCGGCGATCGGGGCCGGCCCGGCTGCCTCTGCCCCACGGAGTGTCCCGGGGCCCTGAGCACCCTCGTGCCCCGCCCCACAGGCATCATCGATAGCACCCACACCGAGCAGCGCCAGGTGGTGGCCGTGACCGGGGATGGCACCAACGACGGGCCTGCACTCAAGAAGGCCGACGTGGGCTTTGCCATGGTAGGGGCAACTCGCCACGGGCCCTGGGGTGGTGCCTGGCAAGAGCTCATAGGCAGGGGGTGTGGGCAACTCAGCCTCGAACTGGCTGTGCGGGGACCCCGGTTCACACTCAGCTCACCCACCATCTACCTCACGTGCCCAGTGCTCTCAAGGCTCAGCCTGGCCCCCCGGGGTCTTCCTGGAAGGGTGGAAGAGGGCTGCCTGCCGTGATGGGTGTGGGGGAGGATGGGCCAGGGAAAGGCTTCCAGAAGGCAGAGTTGGCCTCAGGGGCCGGGTCTGTGAGGAGTACACGCACACACCCCCCGTGCGGTCTGGCCGAGCTGGGCAGTTGGGAGGAGGCATGCGGGGGTTCTATAGGACTGAGGGTGTGCAGGGGATGAGAACAGTGTTGCTCGAGCTGCTCACCACCCCCTAGCCGCCCCAAACAGGCTCCTGTCCCCACAGGGCATCGCAGGCACGGACGTGGCCAAGGAGGCCTCAGACATCATCCTAACGGATGACAACTTCAGCAGCATCGTCAAGGCAGTGATGTGGGGCCGCAACGTCTATGACAGCATCTCCAAATTCCTGCAGTTCCAGCTGACGGTCAACGTGGTGGCTGTGATCGTGGCCTTCACGGGTGCCTGCATCACGCAGGTGGGTCCTCCGGGGGCGGGGGGGCAGGTGGGCAGGATGGGGCATGCCAAAGCCTGGGGGAGCCCCTGCCAAGGGCCAGGAGTTGCATCACAGACCTCAGGTGCAGGCACCACCCTGAGGAAACGAAGCTCAGCAAGGTGGGGGGCTGGCCCAAGGTCATCTGGCAAATGGGAGATGTCAAGCCTCACCCCCATGGCTGCCTGACCTGGTACTCCCTCCAGGAGGCAGAAGAGGTCATCCTGGAAGGAAGGCAGAGCCCCCAGAGGGAGGCAGGGGCAGGGCAGGGCCCAAGGGAGGTCAGGCGACCAGCAGGGGGTAAGGAGCCAGCAGGGCCCTGGGGGCAGGAGTGTAACAGGAGAGGCCTGTTTGCCTGGGGCCCTGAGGCCAGGTTGGGGCTCCTTGTCACTGGGAGGGGCAGATATCTGTCAGGATCACCATCTGGGTCATGAGCAGCCCCATCCCGAGCTCAGGGGAAGCCAGCCAACAGGCCTGCATGTCTTCAGCCTCACTGCTTCCTCACCCAGCCCCATGAGGTGGGAATTATGATGATCCCCATTTTACAGAAGCAGAAACTGAGGCTTAGAGGCTGGACCAGCCAGGAACTGCCATTGTTCCTGCAGCCTCCTGCCTCCCCCTAGGGGCTGACCAGCCTGGCCTGGGGAGGAAAGGGCCAGTATTCCAAGGCCTCCCAGCAATCACGTGGGTAGACAAGCTCCTGCCCACAGAGAGGAGCCCCCAGAGGCCCAAAACACAGCACTGCCCCGGAGTGCTTTGTGGCCTTAGGAATGCTGCTCCCCTCTGCTGCATTCTGAGCGCCTGGGGCTGCATGTGGCAGCACCCAGTACCCTCTCCTGAGAGTCAGAGCTGGGAGGTGGCTGGTGGGTCCCTTCTGCTGAAAGGGCCCTCTCCTGGTCTGTGGGCGAGAGACTCCCTCTAGTGGTGGCTTGGGGAACACTCCCGCAGCACAGCCGCTCCTGCGAGTCTTCCTGGGGACCCCACTGATGATGCCAGATGGAGAAACAGGTTCAAAGAGGACTACCGGTCTGCCTAAGGCTTTAGATTGAGTTGGTGGCAGGGCCATGTAGGCCTTGATGGGGAGACGGGGGGTCCCGACCCTGAAGCACATGTAAATAGAGAAGGCTGATGAGCAGGAAAAAGCCTCAGGACATGGGGAAGGTGGCTGCTCCAGGGCACAGGTGGGAGAGGCGGCCTGGAGGAAGGGGTTCTGATGCATCTAGGAGGTGAGCGAGTATGGGGTGCAGGCAGAGTGGGCCTCGGGGGCTGCACTGAGAAATGATAGAGGAGTGAAGAACTACTCAGTTTAGGCTATTAGGCTTACAGGGTCGGTGGGCTTCCTGAAGGAGGTGTTCCACCGTGGATGAAGCTAACACCAGAAGGGGAAGTCTGGGCTGTAGAGAGGGTGATGCTAGGGAGAGGTGGGTGCCGCCAGCCAGGGTGACAAGTGTGGAGAGGAAAGCAGGGCTGAGGAAGGGGCCGTGGGGGGCACAGAATTAAAAGACCAGGGAAGAGGTGCCCTGAGGGAGAGGGAGAAGGACCATTCTCAGAGAGGCTGAAGAGGGCCAGGAGAGTGGGGTCAGGGGCCAGGAGGAGACAGTGGCCAAACAAGGCAGGGAGGTCAGTGAGAGGAGGCTGGAAAATGTGTCTCTCAATTGGTGAGAAGGAAGGTGCTGGTGACCTTGGAGAAGGGGATTTGGGGGACACGGAAAGGCCAAAGTCTGCCTGCCAAGGACAAGGTACTTGCGGGTACAAGGGAGGAGAGGACAGCAGATCAGCTCCTCGAGGCAGTGTACCCCACGTGATGGGATTGTGCACAGAGCGGTATGACTGTATGGTCCCAGTCTCAGCCAGAGAGAGGCGTGGGAGGATCCACACCAGAATGTGGATGGCGGCCGCCTGTAAGTGACAAGATCATTGATGAGTTTTAGCTTCCTCCGCTATTCCCTACTTGCCCCCAATTTTCTACCATGGAAGTATGTTATTTCTGGAATCATAGATACACACAATAATTGCTTAAGTTAAAGTGGGACAATGAGGTAAGAAGGAACTTGGTGGTAGCGACAAGGGGACAGGGGTCACAGGCGCTGTTGGTGGGACAGCAGAGACCAGAGCCTTGGATAGTGGAGGGGAAAGCAGTAGGAGGCTGAGCAGATGGGATCTATGCTGGAGACGGGGGAGAGCTTGGCCTTAGCCAGGAGAGATGTGTCCACAGGGGCTGAAGGGGTGGACAGCACATGGTGGGGAAGTGGGTGAATTTACCAGAAGGCAGGGAGCTGCTGACCATCATGCCTAGAAGACTCAATTTTCTCCTTGAGGGAGAACACAGGTAGGCAGGTCTAGGCTGTTCTCCAGAGAAGGGAAGGCCCAGCAATCCTGTGGGGTGCCTGTTCAGGAGGCCAGCTGAGGGCAGACCCACTGGGCAGAGTCGGCTCAAGACGCCACCAACAAGCTGCTGAGGCCCACACCCGGCCCTTCGTAGCAGCTGGTGGGGCCGGCCTCCCCTGTGACAGCCTTCCCCACCACTGCTGTCTCCAGGACTCCCCTCTGAAGGCTGTGCAGATGCTCTGGGTAAACCTCATCATGGACACGTTCGCCTCACTGGCACTGGCCACTGAGCCACCCACCGAGACCCTGCTTCTGAGGAAGCCATATGGCCGCAACAAGCCCCTCATCTCACGGACCATGATGAAGAACATCCTGGGCCACGCCGTCTACCAGCTCACCCTCATCTTCACCCTGCTCTTTGTTGGTGAGTCCCCCACTGGCCCACCTGGGACACCCCGGCCTGGACCCAGCGTTCTGGATTCACATCTGCCCTCTTGCCTGCCGTGAAGTCACAGGGGCCCAGGGCAGTGAAGTGAGTTGCTCAAGGTCACATAGCAAGTCTTGGGCAGAGCCGGACCCTGTCTCAGGCCTGGCCAACCCCAAAGCCAGGGCTTTTCCACTGATGACAGCTCCAGACACTGAGTGCACACTAGGCAACGTGGCGCCCAAGTGTTGATTTACGCCTCTCACACCCGCCCTGGAGGAGCCTGAGGCTCTGGCCCCTTCTCCGACCCATTCCTGCACCTCATCCGTGCCCTGTGCAGGCATCCTCCCTGAGACCTCCCCGGGGAGGGACCAAACGCCCAGAGCCACCAACCATTGCCACAGCATTTTCCTTTAGGCCACGTGCCTCACTAGGTCTCCCCGCCCTCAGTGGGGCAGGCACCTGTGTGCCACCTGACATTACAGGGAGCGCCCTGAGGCACACAGAGGTGAGCCGACCTGCAGCCGAACTGGGGCGCCTGGGTAGTACCAGGCCTGGTTCCCTCAGGTGTTTCAGAGATGATGTGGGCAAAGCCTACCCCTGGGCCACGGAGAGTCCCAGAGTGGGAAGGGGCGGGCCCACAGTCACACAGGGAGTCAGGGCCAGCCAGGAGTCCCCAGCATGGGCAGAGCCCCTCCGCTTGAGGAGCTGGGCTTTCAATGCCAGCGAGCGCTTGCCCTCAAAGTCCAGAGTACAGATGTGGGTAGGGCATGGATCCTATTCCCCAAAGGGCAGTCCTCTTGTACGAATTTGGAAGGTGATGTGTTGGCAGGACTATTGTCAAGAGTATTTTTAGTCTTCAAAGAAGCCATGTGAATGCAAAACTAGGAGAGAAGGCTGCTGGGTGGGGGTTCCTGGTTTACTTGCTGGCTTCCCCCCTTGAGCACCTACTCTCAGCGGTCTTGGATTCAGCTAGACACCTCACACTAAGAAAACCCCACAAGCCCTCCTGGCACCAGCTTACACAGCTTTGCCAAAAAATGTAGAATGGCACTGGGCCTGTCATCAGTGCGTGTCCACACAGCAAACCGGGGGGCTACTCTCCACCCATCATGTGATAACTCAGGTACAAGAGAATGAGGCCACTGGGTGGAGCCAGCCTGGCCTAGAAACCCCAACATCCACATAGCAATCAATATTTCCTATAAGAGGGGCGCCTGGGTGGCTCAGTTGGTTAAGCAACTGCCTTCGGCTCAGGTCATGATCCTGGAGTCCTGGGATCGAGTCCCGCATCAGGCTCCTTGCTCGGCGAGGAGCCTGCTTCTCCCTCTGACCCTGCCCCCTCTCATGTACTCTCTCTCTCTCTCATTCTTGCTCTCTCAAATAAATAAATAAATCTTTAAAAAAAAAAAATATTTCCTATAAGAGCCCGAGAAGCTTCCAGAGGTCTCAGCAAGGGTCACAGTCAGTTACAAGAAGCACCACTTTCAGGGGAGCCCAAGGCCATGGCCTCCCACCGGGGATTCCTGGTTCACACCCTGTCCTCCCAGTCTTCCCAGTCCAGATGAGTTTGCCAACTGGAGGTCACTTTCAATAAGCAGTGTCAGCCGACAGGAGAGCTTGCATTCCACCTTTATCAGACTTCCACAGAAAAGTGGAATAAAATTCACCCAACATCTTTCTCCCTAGAGAAGAAAGGGTTTTGTCATCCCTCCACTCACTCAGGACCACCCAACAGTGCAGGCCCACCCCGCCCCCTGACATCCAGAGCGCCGCCTCTGTCTCTGCCTGACCCACCCGGCTGCACAGAAGAGGCCCCCACTCAGGGCCCAGCGTCCCCCCCAAGCCGAGTCCCTCAGCCCCACTCCTGCCCTCTCGACTTGGCAGGCGAGAAGATGTTCCAGATCGACAGCGGGAGGAACGCGCCCCTGCACTCGCCACCCTCGGAACACTACACCATCATCTTCAACACCTTCGTCATGATGCAGCTCTTCAATGAGATCAACGCCCGCAAGATCCACGGCGAGCGCAATGTCTTCGATGGCATCTTCCGGAACCCTATTTTCTGCACCATCGTGCTGGGCACCTTTGCCATCCAGGTAGCCAGGCCCCCACCCCAACCTGGGCCGGGGTGGGCAGTGAGCAGCCAAAGCCCCTTGGCCGTGCCCTGAGAGCCCAGACCCTGAGTTGGCCCCTGACTCTCTCCCTCCTTCTCTTTCTCCCTGTCCCTCTCCTCTCTTTCTGTCTCTCTCTCTCTCTATCCCTGTGCTCCCCTTTGACCTCCAGATAGTGATCGTGCAGTTTGGGGGAAAGCCATTCAGCTGCTCTCCACTGCAGCTGGACCAGTGGATGTGGTGCATATTCATCGGGTTAGGAGAGCTCGTCTGGGGCCAGGTAAGTTCCAGGTGGGTTGTAGGAGATGCCTCTCGGCAGACGAAGGGAAAGAGCACTGGACAGGGAATCCGGGAGTCCCAGGAATGGGTCCCAGCTCTCCCACGGACTCAGTGTCTGACCCTAGGCAAGGCCCTCCCCATCTCTGGGCATCTGAGCAATGGGGGTTGACCCAGGTGCCACATACTGGTCTTCTGGGTACCACCACTGTGACTTTTGCCTTATATCTATATACCTCTGATCCTGTTATTTATTTGATATTTTCTTTCAATCAAATCAGTTTTTTTATTGAAATTTATTTCAAAAGGCAACTTTATATTATTAACATGATTAGAAAATCAGTATCATTTGTCATAAAGAGAAGCTAACAAAAAAATAATAACGTAATGAGAGCAATGTTATTAAACTCTAACTCGATGCCATGGCCTGTGAAGGCTCAGAGCCTGAAGCCAGCTTGTTGTTTAAGAGGATAATTAGTAAGTAGTATGACACCAAGCAGAGACTCCTTTAGAGAGCTCTGAGGAAACGCAGGAGGGGTGAGCTCTGCCTTGTCTCAGAGTGATGCAGGGCTGTGTCTGGCATCCTCCTGGCTTTGGAGAATCGTGGGCGGGATGCTCCATAGGGGCCCTTCCAGCTGTGACCCAGAACATTCTCCCACTCTTCCCTTCCCTACTTTTGCCCAAGTCCTAGGCATGTGTGCACACATGCAGGAGTGCATACACACACACACACACACACACACATCCCTTCACGGTACTCACTGCTTGCAGCCCGACCAGGATGCAGTGCTTGTGAGAAGTACCTGGAGCCAGATCTGGGGCAAAGGGGCTCTATTCCCAAGATGCTCCATTGTCCAGGTAGGGGGAGTCCCAACTGGCCTGAGACATTGTTCTTGCCTTCAAGCTGTTCCTAGAGGCTAGAGTGGGAAGTTGCAATAGCAGAAATTAACTAGAAGATGAAGAAGAAAATTTAGTTTCATCCAAAAGGTCCTTCTTTAAACTCTGGAGCTTCTTTGGAAAGTTGATAAACTAGATTTGACTTAGCAACCCCATTCCCTGGGCATCTTTATCCTGCTGGAGCCCACACCCTCAGGGAGCTCTTGGCATCTGGAGGGCAGACTCCTAATGCCTGAGGATGATGCCAATGGGCAATGCTGAAACCCCAGGGAATCCATGAGGCTGAGTGTCCAGGCCAGCACCCATCTGTCCCTAGAGGGGCCTCTGATCTTTGCCACCTCAGCCTCCCCATAGGGCCTGCCTTTCACACCTTGGCCCCATGGACAAGCCCTTTGGAGGACGATTAAGTATAAAAGCATATCCCCTTCTCATATTGCCTTCCCTTTCTGGGAGGGCAACCATTCCCAGAATGCCCAGGACTGGCTGTCCCCATGGTACCCATGCCCTGAGCCCCTGTTGCCCACACTCAGGTACCACAAGACCCAGTGATCAGGAGGAATAAACCCAGGGACCTGAGGGCCAGCTGTGGGCCAGGCTCATGCATAGCAACTTAGACATACCATCTTGCTTAATCCTCAAACTCAGAGTTAATCCTCAAACTCTGAGAATTGCCCCCCAGTTTTACAGATGGGAAAACCAGAGCTCAGAGAAGTTAAATGACTTACCCAAGGTCACATGACCTATAAGGTCTGGGGTATTCAAGGTCACACCTGTCCAACTCCTAAAGGCCAAGATTTTCCACTGTGCCCTCCAACTCTGGATGAGTGAGTGAAATACAAAGCAAATCAATAAGAAATTATAAAAGATGGAGTTGAGGAATGGGTAGGATGAGTTAAGAAGTGAGCCGAGCCCAACTAGGTAAGTTGGGGGGGTGGGGAGGAGAGGGGCGGTGGGGTGGCAGGTTGGGAAGGAGGCCACCTGAGGGACAGCCCCCATCACCCTGACGCTGGACCCCCTGCAGGTCATCGCTACCATCCCGACCAGCAGGCTCAAGTTCCTCAAGGAGGCGGGCAGGCTCACGCAGAAGGAGGAGATCCCGGAGGAGGAGCTCAATGAGGACGTGGAGGAGATAGACCACGCCGAGAGGGAGCTGCGGCGAGGCCAGATCCTGTGGTTCCGAGGCCTGAATCGGATCCAGACCCAGGTACAGGAGGCTCCCGGGGCTGGGCCACACCTAGCTGGGGCGGGCGGGGGATGGAGATGGGCGTGCTCCATGCCACCCCACAGGCCCGCAGAGACGGGGCTCCAGCCCTGCTCTCACCACCTCGCCAGCCTTTGGTACACCCATGCTCCCCACACGCACGCTCCCGTGGCTGCTAAAGAAGCTGCGGCCTCTTCAGGAGCCTTCCATCTCACCCCTCAGACCTGCGAGGGGTCAGACTGGGGTCACACCCACCATGGGTTTCCAGGGGGGATGCCCCTAAGCGGGGAGGGGACCTGAGAGCTGAGGTGAGTGTGGGGCTCTGGTCAGGGTCAGGCTCCGGTCACCACCAGGAGGGGCGGTGCAGGGCTCGGGCGCCAGTAGGTGTAAGGCCAGGGCCAACCCTAGATTCTCCCGGGCCGGGGCATCTCTGCACATGTGTAACATGTTCCCCACCGGGGCCTTCGGACACTGGCCTCCAGCCTCCACCAGAGCGTCGAGGCCACTCTGGGAAGCAAAGTTTGGCTTTCCCCACGCATACGCAGACACGTACGTGCACAGTAAGGCGCACACGCCAGGCACATGTGTGGGATGGATTTCCTCCCCAGGACAGACACCTGTGCCCCCACACACGGGCCACACGCTCTCACACAGCCCTCTGCCCAGGCTGGAGTTCTAGATCACACTGCTTGTTCACAGCCCTGTGGGATGAGGGACTCAGGGGGCTAGGAAACTAAGGGAGGGTGGGCCTCTTGCCCGGACCACGCCTAGCAGCCCACTGTAACCTGGGCTGCTTCACGCCCCACCGAGCCCTCCCCAACATCCTCTCGTTGGCATTCACAGCCCCCCCCGGTTTTAGGGGTGACCGAGGTTCAGCAGACAGCCCTCTCAGAGAGCTGGGGGCGGGGGGGAGCAGGTGTCGGGCCCAGAGCCTCCCAACACCGCCGGGGTTCTCCTCTGCGACAAGAACCCCGGCGCGCAGCCCTTGGCCAGCCCTGCCCGGGGCTCTGGGGCCCCGAGGGGCCTGGCGCCCGCAGACGTCTTTCAGAGGCTTTGAGTGTGTCTGGCAGTCTTTGTTTGATCTAAGTCACCTTGTCCTTGTCCCCATGGCTGCGGCTGTGTTCTGGCGTCGTGCCTGTCAGTCGTGTAGCTGTGTGTCCGTTCTTCTCGCAACTTGTCTCGTTCTCTCCTCCGTTGCAGATTGAAGTAGTCAATACTTTCAAGAGCGGGGCCTCCTTTCAGGGAGCCCTGCGGAGACAGTCCTCCGTCACCAGCCAGAGCCAGGACGTAGCCAATCTCTCTAGCCCTAGTCGCGTGTCGTTGTCCAATGCTCTTTCCTCTCCGACCAGCCTTCCTCCTGCTGCAGCTGGGCGTGAGTGTGAATCCTTACTGCCTCGGGCGCCACCGACGCCAGCGCTGGGCGGGCAGGGGCCGGGGCCCCAAGGACACGGGGGGCAGCCGGTCATGGCAAGGCCCAGGGGGCTGAGGGGCCGCAGCCATTGAGGAGGGTCCCCATTGGTCAGGAGAGCATAGCCAGTCATGGGTTGGCCGGCCCTTGGTGGGCCAGGGTTGGCTGGGGTCAGGGTCAGGGGCTTAAACACTCAGCCAGGGGGTCGTGAAGGTCCAGAGTGGCCAAAAAGGTCTGGGTCAGTCAAGGATCACCATCTGGTGGGGAGTTTCCAGTGATCAAATGCTCCAGCCCACTAGAGGGTTCACAGCGGCCGAGGCCGAACAGTCAGCCAGGACGGCAAGGAGTATCCGAGTATCCCAATTGGTTAGGGCCATACTCAGTCAGGAAAAGCCTGGCGCACAAGGTCAAGGTCAGAGTTGGCCAGGAGGTCAGAGTCTTATAGTTAGTAAGGCAAAGCGTTACCACGGGTCAAGGCCAGCAGAGGTCACAGTCGGTCACGGTGGGGTCCAGCCAAGAGAGGGGTCACTGCTGGTCAGAGGTCCCAGTCAGGGAGGGGTCCCAGGCCTTGGAGGAGGAGATCACAGCCCGGAGGCCCCCGCCACAGTAGTTCAGAACCCTCTGCTTCATCCCTTGTACATCTGATGGCATTAGCTGCCTTACACACATTATGCCCTGCATGCTGAAGGTCTGACCCCTTCCTAGAAAGGACAGGGCTCCTTCCCCATTCAGCTTGACCTCAGGCAGAAAACAGTGAACCAAGTCTCACATCTTGGCTGGATGCCAGCAGGCCATGAGGGATCTGGTCCAACCCGTAGTGTCCTGCCCTTACTCATCTGAGGGATAGCCGGGGACTCTGGCCTCCAACTTCTCCCTCCTGCCAAGCTCACCTCCTCATGGCACCACTTCTAACCTGCTCTCTCATCTCTGGCTTCTAGATCTTTCTGAACCCCTCCATGGCTTCAGGCCCCAGAGGGAATAAGAAGTCTCTACTACCTGCCTCCCTTACCTTGTGTCCAGTCAGCCCCACCCAAACTGCGGGGGAGCCCCTAGTTCTGGTCTTCTCAGATTGCCACAATGCATCTGTTCCAGCCCTCGGGCTTTTGATGAGGAACAGGCCCTGGGGCTTCATCTCGCCATACTTTATACAGTGCCTGTACCCCCATCCAAATACGGTATACCCACCACACACATCCCCTCCCACTGAGCTGGAGAGGACCTGCATGCCGGCTGAGAACTGGGCCATCTGAGCCCTCGGGTGGGAGACACGAGCCACAGGGAGCCTGTTGCTGGCCCATGCTCATATCCCATGACTGTTCAGTGGTGGCAGCCCTGCCAGGTAGGCAGGGTAACAGGGAGGATGCAGAAAAGGGAAGAAAAGCCCTTCTGGGTTCATTCATTAGCACAAAAACCCAGCGATGGGGAGGCCAAGCAAGCCAAGGTGAAATGGAGATCTATTTGAGCAGACCGGGTCCAAGTCACATTGCCATGACTATCGCTAGGAAGTCACTGCCAGGCTTTCTCAGGGCAAGAAACACTTTGGTCCCATCCTGCCCACCGCCCACCCCCCCACCCCCCGCCCCTTACAGCAGAGAGCCTCAGCCAGCTGACCTCCTCCTTCATTCACTTAGCTCTGGCCTTGCTCAGCACCACCAGCTGTCTTGAAGTGCAATGACCAAGTGTTCCAGTCTGGGGATGCCTGCCTGGCTCAGTTGGTAGAGCATACAGCTCTTGATTCTGGTTCGAGCATAGAGATCACTTTAAAAAAGGAGGAGGGGGGTTCCGGTCTGGAGAGCCACTGGGGAAAGAATCCATTTCTTTGGGCTCCTGCCATCCCTCCTGGTGACTCCCACATCCCTCTGGCTGGGTCTGACCTCTTTGAGGCACGGTGCTTCACACTGGCCACAGCCAGAGCCTACCTGGCATTTCTGGGCACCCATGCAGCCTTTAGAAGTCTTCCTGTGGCTTAGCCCCACGCCTTAGCTCCCACAGCCTAGAGAAAGAGCTCAGTCATCTCAAACCTGGGCAATATCATTCTCACCTTTTCTTATTCAATAGGCCAGTTGAGTGACACCCAGCTTTCACCACTTCTCCTTCAGAGAGACAGCCATTTCTGCCCACCCTCTATTTTCTCCAAGGACCTAGAGAGGCTGGTCAGGCATGATTCCCTCATCCAACTGCCATCTTGCCTCCTTGAGCATGTTGTATTCCTACCCTCTACCAGAGAATCCAGACTGTAATTTGGGGTGTCTTGTGGGAGCCTGACCATGCCCCTAGCCAAGAGTTCTGGTTCCAGAAGGGATCCTAACCTCTGTAGCTTCAACACACACACTTTGATCAATACAGTCACAGTGTGGACTCTAAACAAGTACCCCCAGTTCCTCCTTCACCTGAATAGTTGCTATAACAACAACACCTCCTCTAGTCTCCAAGGACTCTGAGGGCCCTCTAGTTACCAGGCAGGGTCCCTTCAGGAGTCAAAGGCTTTTTTCCCCCAGGGAGGTGTGAAACCAGTAGCCAGGAGTAAGAGAAGGGGTCCCGGCTTGGGTGGGATGGAGAGGTAGGCTGCCTCCCACCTCCTCTGGCAGGGACTTCTTCCTGGGGATTCTCCAGCAGAGGAGGGTGGCCCTGTGCATGCTGAGTCCAGAATACCTGGAATCTTATACCCTAGAAGGAGTCAAACCACTGTCCCCTGGGTTACCATGAGTTGACCACCAAGGTCTGTGGTGGGGCAGTGTCTGCTTGGGGCGGACTTCTGACTCATGACCTTGGGGTGAGGAGCCCCCCATCCCATCCCTCCCCCGGCACCACTGTGAGGTGGAGGGCCCCAGGCAGACAGATGCATGCGGTGACGTGACAGTCAGGTCACACTCACACCCAGCATGTTTGGGAGGGAACTCTGGTCCACTGTCTTGCTTTCCTCTTCTGACTGACATAAAAGTGAGGTTTTTTCCCCCAGAAACTTAAAGGCACACCCCTAAGGCCTTATACTTGAGCCTCACTCAACATTTTCCAAAGTAGTCCCCACATCCTTCATTTCGCATATGCCTCACCAAGGAAATAGGAGAGAGGACCTGCCAATACATCCATTCCCCTGAGAAAGACACTGAGGCTCAGAGGACTGGGCCGACTTGGCCACGATCACACAAGTGAGTGGCAAGAGGTCTGACTCCGAAGTGCCTCATTTTCCCACCATCCCACAACCACTTTCCGGACTAGCCCATAGCCCTGGAGACTGCAGAGGTTGAATTTCCATTTCAGAACCAGTGCCCATGCCCACAGCCTCACAAAGTGGAAAGGGGTCCACCCTCTGGGCTCTAGAAGGCCAAGAAAGCGGTTTCTCTGCTGGACTTTCTACCAGCCTGGCCGGGACCACCTTCCCACTGGTGACCAAAGACAAAACGAGCATTCGGCTCTGTGACCCGAGGCCAAGCCCCCTGCTGCTCCTGCTTATGCCTCTCAAACTCCTAACGCATCTCAAGCCACTTTTGTATTTAGCGAGTTTGTAGCAGGCTCCGTGTTGGTCAGTGGAGGTCCTCCTCCTTCGAACCAACCAGGCCAAGCACGTCAGACCCCTAACCCAGAACCGGCCACTTCCTGGCCACTACCAGACAGGGGCCATCTCCTCCTGCCACTTCCCCTTCACCTTCCTGATTCCAAGGACCGTTAGGGCAAGGAGGGCGCGTCTCGTAAGGGAGAAATGAAGAAGGAAAGAAAAGAAAGCTATGCCTCTCATTAGCGTTTTGGTAACGAACTCAGTGCAATCTTGGGTTGGCGAGAAAATGGCTTGCTTCTGGGGTGGGGCCTAGACCTCTCCACTGTCTGAATATTCCATGTGTTTGTTTCCCTAGAGGGCTAGAGAACCCTGGAGACAGAGTTCAGCAAGAGAGAGTGAAATTAAAAGAGGTTGTGAGTCTTTAACCTTGAGCCTGAAATGAATGTGAATCAATCCCAGACTCTTGGCTTCCCTGAAGCCGGGTAAACATTCGAGTATGTCGAACCCGTCCCAGCCCAGGGCCGACACAATCCCTCAGAGCCGTCCGACAGGGGCGTGGGTCTCTTGTTCCCTTTGTGCTGATGAAACCACAATGTCTGAAATCCCAAAGGCCGGGTCCTTTCCCCTCTCCCCTCCCCCCATACCAAGTATAGTTCCAGCCCCAAAATCTCACTTTAGGGTAGGCAGGGATGGGAGGCGGAAGAGCTTTTTTTCTTCCCGTATTTTTTCATTTCAGCCGCGGAGAGAACCGAAGTGGACACTTGAGATGACCGTGGCGGGGTGTCCCGAAAAGTCTTGTCCCCACAGTCTTGTCCAGAGCAGTTCATTCTTTCTGTTGTCTCCATGCCAGGGGGAGGGCAAGGGGCCTGCATCTCATTGTGTGTCGTGCCCTCTGCATTTTCAGTCACATGACAGGGTCCCACCACCATCCCTCCTCCTCCACCACCTTATTGCAATTCAGCCTCAGCACATGCGGGTCACTAGGCTGGACAGTTACAATGACGATTATTCCCATTTTACAGATAAGAAAACTGAGGCCCATGACACCTTTTTGTTTGTTTGTTTCACTTAATCAAGGGTGTAATGGCCTGCTCATCAGGAGATCAGAATATTTAATAATCCCTACAGAGCCATGAACAGGGAATCCAGGGAGAAAGAGGCCTCAGAGCAGTCACATGGCTGTCACGGCGTCAGCAGGCTCTCTCTTGGCCCCTGATGCCTCTTATTTAAAGCATGATTCCAAGAAACAGGGCCTCTTGGAGTCCCCAGAACACAGCACATAAAAGGGAAACGGGACAGAGATGCTTTTGAGCAAACAAGGAAAAGTCAGAACGAGTAATGATGGCTGACAACCAAAGAGAGACACTTAAAAAAAAAAAAATCAAAACTCTGGGGTCTTACAAAAGACCAAAAGGATTACTGACCAACTTAACGTTACATTCTTCTCTGTGTACACTAAACCAAAAGGCAGAGGAGCATCTCATGTGCTTTAGAAACACTTCCCTTGGAAAAATAATAAAATAAACCCTGCGCTAGGACACTTAAAACCATCAGCCACAGTCATCTAGAAAATTCACTTCCATGGACAGGGCTTTCCCCACCTGTGCCCCACCAACAAGATACCCCTGGGTTTAGCTGAGAGTTCCACAGATCCTGGGACCACAAGGGCCTCCCCACAAGAACCCCGCTGGTCCTCTGCACCCCCCCCGCCCCCACAGGCCTGTGGTGTGGAGGCACCCACTGTTCTGCAGGGAGGGCCACTGAGGGCACCCTCGGTGCCACGGCCAACTTGGCTGGGGCTCTGCTCCTTGGACGCACCGAGGCTGCTTCGTATTCCCCCACGACTGCCTCCGCTCTGAGTTGGGGCTAGGAAGAGAGGAGCAAATACCTTTGTCCCAAGTCCCATCTGCCCCTTGAGACGACAGGCATGGCTTCCCCCTCCCAGGAGTCTGGAGAAAGGGACCCCTCTCTCCAGCACGGGGGTCCTGTTCCTCTGTACCCCGTGAGGCAGGACAGAGGACAACCAGTGAGGCAGCGTGTCTTGCCCACGGTCAAGGCACCAAAAGTGGCAGAGCCTTTTTCAGACATGGGTCTCCCTGACTCCGAGTCCAGTGCTCCTTCCACTAGCCTGGAAGACTCGATGTCCAGCTTCCTTTCACACTCTTCGGAAAACCACGCATTCCAACTAAGACACAGAAAATGAAAGAATGTGCTTTTTTGTGGCTCGGGTCCACACCCTCCTAGAATCCCACCCAGGGCTGGGTTTGGCCATCTGATTCTGGCCTCCTTTTTGGGAGTTTTGTGTTTTCAAAGCACAAACAAGGAAATAAAATGCCCCAGGAAATAAGGGACCCCAAAGTCAACTCCAATGACTGGCCAGGGCTTTGAGTCTATACTCGAGTGTTTACCTCCCAAATGCATGAAGGAAAGAAACGTTGGGTACAAAGACCTCCGTTCACATTGTCCAGGCTTCCAAGTGTAGCCGTGTGTCTGTCTGTGTGTGCCGTGTGGTTCCTGATCCCTCACCATGGCATGCTCCCCGCCCCTGAATGTCGTCAGTCTGCCGGCTCCTCCGTGCTTTCTGGCCGCCTCAGCTCTGCACCCGGGAAAGCCCTGAGTTGGCTTTGGTTTGCCTTGCTGCCTTCAGTTTGATGTTCCTGTTCTCTGGCCCTCATGTGTCTTCTCTCATCCCGGCTCATCCAACTGTCTCTCCTTTCCGTTCCTTTTCTGTTTGTGACACGTTATCTGTTCCATGTTGTATGGTTTCTTAACTGCGTGTGGTTTTCTTAAGATTAATGTTCTAAAACTAGCTTCTCCTCCTTCCTCCTTTATTCCCACCTGGTCCTGCTCCCCTTCTGCATGGTTGAACTTGTGCTTTAAAGTTAACAAGGCTCAGTCTCTCACTAGGTCTGGGTGCCCGCCGGAGTGGACTATGCTTCCTCTAACCACTGTTTCCCACCATCTCTGTGATGGGGCTTGATTCCTCCTGTCCTAATACTGTAGTTCTGACCAAAACCAAAGCAGTTTTTAAAACCTCATGGATGCATATAACCTGAGCCCCCTCTTCCATTCTTCCCCTCCTGCCCATGCTCGTAACACCCAGCGACTGTGGATTCCAGCCGCCCGCTGTGCCCTAACCCCTCCCCCCACCCCTCCTCCGAGCGCCCCCCCAGCTTGGCTGCCGCCCCCCCCACCCAGGGCAGTGCTTCTCACCCCTGTGCTTCCCTTACAGATTCGCGTCGTGAAGGCGTTCCGTAGCTCTCTCTATGAAGGTCTAGAAAAGCCTGAGTCTCGAACCTCCATCCATAATTTCATGGCTCACCCCGAATTCCGGATCGAAGATTCACAGCCCCACATCCCCCTTATTGACGACACTGACCTGGAAGAAGATGCCGCCCTCAAGCAGAACTCGAGCCCTCCGTCATCGCTCAACAAGAACAACAGCGCCATCGACAGCGGGATCAACCTAACGACGGACACAAGCAAATCAGCTACCTCTTCAAGTCCAGGGAGCCCCATCCACAGCCTGGAGACGTCGCTTTAGCTGAGGACCCCACCGCCACCCACCCACCCCCGGGCCCCACCCATCCAGGCACCCAGCTCACCCAAGCAGCAAGGAGCAACAACAGGAAACCAAATACTGGCAAGAAAACCAACATTTCCACCCAACAGACCCTTTTTCTGGCTGCGATGCTGTTTGAACTCTTTTACACTTTGAGGCAAGGGGCGGGATCTCCCGGGGGGGGGGGGGGGGAGGCTTACGGGAGTGAGTGATTTTCCCAGAACAAGCCCTTCCTGGCTCCCGCCCAAACACGGACCAGCCGTGCACCCGCCAGGCCACCACGTCCCCTGCATGAATGTACTGTACACTTCCAGTCCTCCCCTTGTTTGGTTTTGGGGGGGTCGGGGAGGGTTTTTTGTTTGTTTTCTTAGGCGGGAACTGCAGACAGACTCTTTTCTGAGACTCTTTATCCAATCCACTGGTCTGTGAGTTTTTGAAATGCTTGCGCAGCATGGTCTCAGTTGTATAGGTTAATTTAACAACTTTTTGAAACTGCAGAGCTTAACTCACCTAGTAAATTTGCACCAACGGAACCGAAGAACTTCACAGACACTCACGAGGTTATATCCATTTCTTTGTATCTATATCAACGTATACTTTTCCAAGACTGTATACGTCCATATAGATAGGTATATATATATGTATATATATATATATACATATATATACACACACACACACACACACGGATATATAAAGTTTTTTTTGCCGGCATGTTGCCTTGTTTCCGCTTAAATTGCTCTATTTTAACTTATTTATGTCCTAAAACAAGAATGTAATTTGTTTACAAACCTGTAGATAACGTCTTTGGCTATTTGTACAGTTTAAGAACACTGGCGGCCGAGATGTTATATAAACAGCTCAGCCCAACAGACACTTCCCTGGATTGCATCCTTGATGTTTTACAATAGCCATGCTCTGATTTTTGCCTGCTGTTTCCATTCAATTATGTCACTACCGCGGGAGGCTCAGGCAGAAGCCAAATGCTACCGAGGAGGAGTATCCATCGGAGGGCTTAACACCATGCTCCGTAGACACAGGGAGAGGAAGAGAGAAGGCTTCCTTAGGTTCGCAGCACTAACAGCGGGCCTGGCCCGGGGGTGACGGGGTCCGCCCAGCTCTGGTCGAAGACTTTTCTCTCGATGAAACTCGCTTGAGTTTACTAAGAGCATTTCAAAAAGAAGTTCTCTTTGGCACTGTCTGGGCAGAGGTTGAGGTAGTGTTGCAATATTATAAATGCTACTCTGTTGATTTTTTCTTTTTTTTAGGAATTTAGAGGTTTATTTACTTATAAATTGCAGCGTATGAGCTGTTGGCATACTGGATGAGGATCATTATGGCTTGCTGCTTTTATTTTTATTTTTGAAGAAGAATAGCCTTTTTCTCTGCACTATTTAGATCCGAACGAACCTTATGATGTGTATATTGAGATGTATTCAGTGTGATTTTTAAACCAAATTGTCTTCCTGTAGTCGCAGTATATACTGTAGCCTTTTGACAGCAAGTCTTGCTTTCCCAGACAGAAAGCCATTCTGAAACCCTACAGTATCACAGGTGAGAAAAGGTGGTTATTTTTCCCCCAAGACAATAACAGCACTAGTAATCCCACTTAATGAGAGCTTATTTAATTGTACGTCAGCCTCTTAACTGCTAAGCACTTTGTGGGTATCAGCTTTTTTCATAAAAGAACTTTTGTATTTAATACAAAGTTTGCTTTGAGACTTTTCAGCATACAATCTTTTTCCATAAACTTGTACAGTGCAAAAGACATTTTGAATACCATGATCGATGACGTCCCATGCTTTGAGGAAAACCAAACACTTTCCACCTCGCTTGCAAAATTCATTCCTCATACTGACCCCTTCCCACGGTTGCTCTGTGTCAGCTCAGCCCTTCCCTTCTCCAGGCCCAGAGAATTCTTCCACAAACAAGATGAGAGCCACTCGGGAAAAGAGCCATAGTCAGCTGGGAGGGCCTACGGCTGGGTGGCTGTGAAGGAACCTGAGGCTTTGGGATCCCAAGTCAGCCCATCCCACCTGGCAAAACCTTCCTAGAAGGAGGACCTTCTGTGTGCGAGAGCATCACCTGAATGTCGTGAAGGAATCTCTCTGAATGTACCCAGCAGAGGAAACTGCATCCCCAAAGGGGTGACCAGCCCTCAGATGTGCTTATTGGATTCCAATACAAACACCGCCAAAAGCCAGCCCGTTGTTCTCCTGCTGAGAAAGTAAAGACCTGCACATGTGAAAAAACCTGGAGCAGCTTTGGAACGTGGTATTTTTTGTAGTTTCCTTTCTCAAGGTTTTCCATCTCCCCACCTTCTTGGTTCCAGTCCTGTGTCCATGACCTCATTCCCCGACAGCAGGAAAGCTGAGCTTGCCCACCACGCTCCCTGTTCATTCGGAGCCGGGACACAGGGAAGACAGGAGCGCCTTCTCTGAGCGGATAGCCTAGTTTAGGGAACAGGGAGCAGTGGAAGTGACCGAGGACACCCGACCTCAGTGTTGGTCTTTTCTTGTCGGGAATGATGGATGCTTACACACAAACACACACACACACACACACACAGAGGAAATGATTGGTTTGTCAAAACTCACTGTAGTACATAAAGCTTGCACTCTGCGTCCTATATCTAGCAGCATGGGGTACGTTTGGCAGTTCACCCCATTAGGGGGTCAATAATTTATGACCATTCATCTGTTTTTATGAATTTTTTTATCTAGACAATAATTGTAAATAAAGAACTCACCGTCTCTGTTCATTTAATACTATGCAATGGTTATGCTTTCAATTGCTGACTCTTCTTACTCCTGCAGCGTGGTTCTGAAATGTCTGTGGTTTAAAAAAAAAGGCAAAAAACCAACATCAAACAGAACACAGTAAATATATACTCTGTAATGTATATATATGTTTTTCCAGTTTGGGACTGCACCATCCACTTAGCTTCTTCTCTGTCCTCTGGACAAGGGCTCCAGGAGAAGATAGCAGATTAATTCTGAGGTCTAAGCTCAGCGACTTGTCTCCCCTCAACAGATGAGAGAAGAGCAGGGGGCCCATTCAGTGACCCCTGGGGCTGGAGAATCGCCCACCTTTGGAGGTGGGCAGGGAGGAATATTTCCTCCCTGTGACTCAGGCAGCGCTTTCCCTAACTCTGAAGCAGCCTCTGTTGCTCCCGCCAACCCCTCACCATGGCCCCTCGCCCCCCTGTCCCAACCAGAACACAGAGTAGACAAGAGGGAGGGTGCCCTGCTTTTGAGACCAGACCAATGAAAATGGCGGTACTGGGCCAGGGACTCTGGACCCGTCTCATCCTGGGTAGCCTGCTTATTGAATAGCTGCTCTTTTCCCAACCATGCTGAAATGCCATCTGTACCACATACTGATAGCTTATATAGATTCGGGTCTATTTCTGGAATTTCTCTTCTGTTCCCGTATCTGGGTGTCTCATCTGGTACCAGCCATACAGTTCTAATTACTGTTGCTTTATATAATGTTTTATCATGTGGAGGAGGGATAAGTACGCTTCCCTCTTTTTCTTTTTTTAACAAAATGTCCTGGTTATTGTCTCACAGCTAATCTTTTAAGTAAACTTTAAAATGTTGCCAAGTCTTCCACCCCTGCCCTTCCCCCACCCAAGGGCCCTGTCATTCTATGTGCAAAGGGCTTCCTTTCTGCCACTGTAAGTACCGTTCACTCAGGGTCACTAGATAGAGTGAAACAAAGATAGGAGAAACTAGACAGGAGAAACAAAAAGAGCATCCTAAATTTGGGGGGAAGCCAGAAGCCAGAAGTTCCTCCCACCATCTCACCTGTACCCTAAGCAAGGGTGTCACCAGGAGAGGCCACCAAGCTCCCCACCCCAATCTCAGTTTGGGACCCAAAGTCACCCACCGTGGTTATGCTGGGGTGGACCCCCCATCTGCCCCAGTCCAGAAGAGGAAGAGGGCTCTCTCCCCCACCTGGAGCTACCAGATTTGTGTGGCCCAGTTGTTTTTATTTCTAATTCTCCTCATGAAGAAACCTTTATTCCTATCTCCCTTTCTGGAACTGCCTTTTTTTTTTTTGGCAGGGGTGGGAGGGGTCACTTCTTGTTCTTTATTCAAAGTTTTTTCAGTGGTTGTGTGATAGGTCCTTTGAGATGCAGCAATTTCTTTCCTGGACCTTCACACCACCCTGACCCCCCCAACCCATTCATGCTCTACTTATGGGAAGCTGTCAGCTGGGTGTACTGTGACATGCCTCCCACCCTAAACTCTCTCCATAGTGTCTGAGACCCCATTAGAAGATGGGAGGGGTGCGTTTCTTGAAGGCTTCGGGTCTTCCAGAGCCAAGGCCTATCAAACAACAGCAGAAAATCCCCAGGTCTTTTCCAAGTTCTAAAGCAAGCTCTCCTGATGTGATGTAGAGATCCTACTCAACCAAGTAGAGGGAAGGGGGTCCCAGGCCCTGGGCATCAGCCATCACCCCCTCCACCAAAAACAAGACCTTTGAGGCTGCTCTGGGACCTTCTCAGCCCCCTAAGTCTGTTTTGTAATGCCTGTGGTGCTCTCCCTCCGGACCTTTCCTCTTGGGGGTCGCCACACTTTGCTAACTCTTGTGTGCACATATTTTATAACAGAGTAGCGAGGAAATGGTGCCGCTCCAGCTTCCACAAGCTGCCCGGGCTCTGGGGGGGGCTCTGGGACAATCGGGGCTGGGAAGTGACTGTGCTCTTATTGTACACTCTTTATTTCTCTGTATCTCTGGCTTGTGCTCTTTGTAATTAATGGGATTTGTCTGCCTTTTCAACACTATCCTGAGCAATAACAATAAATGCACACGTGGAAACGCAGACACGGTACACATCACAAGGCCTTTTTCCGCAGGACACCTGGGTCCCCGCCCTCCGTGGATTTGAACTTGGGAAAACGGAGTCCCTGAGAGGGAAAGGCACTTTGTCCAAGGGTGCACAGCTCGGTGGGTGGTCTCTCTCCTTCCACCACATCACATCTTTCAAACTTCCACCACTTAAGGGAGCAAGTTTTACCTGCCATAAGTCATTAACCTTCCATGAGGAACTGTGGGCAGTCCCAAAGAGCAAGACTTTGGGAGAAGAGGCCTCAGGAGGAAGAGGAAGAGATTTGGAGACAGTGGGTCGGGGAGGTAGGGGCACATATTGGGGAAAGCTAAGAATGGTGTGATTTGGGGTCTAGGATCAACTGGAGGGAGGTAATAGGACAAAAGATGTAGGTGGCATCCCTTACTGGCAAGGGGGGAAGCAGAAGGGAGCCTGGCATCCGAAGAATCTGAACTTTGCAAACCTCTACTGAGCATCAGCAGAAAACAAGAATGTGCCCAAACCAAGAAACTATCTCAATGTTGGCTCAAAGGTTGAGGGTTGTGCACGTGCATCTTCACACACACACACACTCATGCACGCACGCACATACACTAAAGGCCAACCCTTGTCAGGGAGAACTGATCTTCAGATTAAGCACCATATAGGTCCATCCAAGTTCTAAACGGTTTCACCTCCCAGAGTCCATTTACTCCCAACATCAACGTTGCTTCCGCGTAGGTATTCTAATTCCCACTTAACAGAAGAGGAGACCGCAGCTCAGAGAGATGAAGGGTACACCCAGCTAGAAAGGAGAAGATACAGTAGTGCTCCCAGCAGTCTTGATACCAGAATTGGCACTTGAAACCTCTATATTATGGTACCTTTCAGTTCCCCCAGCAGATATCTTAATGAATAAGATACAGTTGCATTGCTTATCCCAAATCCCCAATCTCTCCAACTTCAATGCCTATACCAGGGAATTCCTTGAATAACAACTATGCCCCATGCATTATATTTGTATTATATCAAAAATGTCACTGTCCCTGTTTCCTACTTGAGAAAAGCAAGGCTCAGAGAGAAGTGATGCACCAGAGAATCAATGGTGCAGCTACAGATGGAAGGCCAGGGTTTGTCCCTTGAAGAACAGCAGACCCAAGAGCCCCACCCACTTTGTCCCTTGCTCCACTTTAAGTGCCGCCCCCCAACATCCCCGCAATATTTCTCCATTAGAGGGGAATAATCTTGAAAGCTGGGGCAGGGGTGGAAGGGTGAGTTGCTGTCTGGAGGCCCAGCCCTTAACTCTGTAAGACCCCACACCCTTGGCCCCCTCTCCCAAGCTCGTTGATGGTCTAGGTCTATCACACTCTCTGAACCTTAACATCATCCCTCCAGCAGTGACCATCTCCAGCTAGGTTTCTTCCGTCCAGTGTCGGAGAGAAACTGAGGGACTGTGACTTGCTCAAGGGGAGCCTAGGCTCCACCCTAGGTCCCCGGACTCCTTAACACCAGGAGGGGTCCAGGTCTGCCAGACCATGCGTGTGTGGCTGAGGGGAGCTCCCAGGCCTCCTCCAGCAGTACAGCATTCTCCGTGTGCTTGTGGAAAGCCCGGGACTTAGGGGCTGGGGCCACTGGGGTTTGGGTCCTCAGTTCTAGCTGCAGGAGCCTAGCTAAGATCCCACCCTGCCTGGGGTTTCTACCTCACAGGATCCCAGGACTGTGGGGAAGGGGCAGTTTGGAGGCATTGGGTCCCACGGCGTGGAGAGGGCAGGGTGAGAGGGCTCAGCCTCTGGTAGCTGGCATTCCCTGGCCTTCTCTGGCCCTGGTCCCAGCTTTGGGTCCTGAGGAGGGACTAACAACGAGGAAGCAAGCACTAGGACCGGTCGGTCTACCCACTACCCAAAAAATTGCTCATCCTACAATGTTCATCCTAAGGCCGGTCGCACCCAGAACCGCAGGCAGGCGGGTGAAGCTGTAGCTATGAATCCTTCCTTTCGTGTAGAGATCTCAGCAAAAGGAGAGAAGATGGGCTAGAGCTTCCGATTTCAAAAGCCCCGGGATCAGTCTTGCCACGGAAACGGGAGCCCCACCCCGGGAGCCCCACCCCTTTAGTCTCCCGCAGTCGGCACACAGAAGGGGAGGGGCCTTGGGAGGGCGGGGCGCCGCCCGGGGTGCCGCCCCGGAAAGGCTCGGAACTTTCGTGCGAGCGGACCGCGTTGCCACCCGGCTACTCCAGCTCCACCGCCCGGCGCCGGAAGTGAGCTGTTTCGGGGCGCCGCCGGGAGCTGCCACGTCCGAGGCCGGGAGCTGCTGCTGTCGCAGCCATGGTGAGTGTGGGGACCGGGGACGCGGCCCTCTCCCGGCTTCCTTGACCGTGCCAAGGTTCAAGCCCCGGGCTGGGGCCGTTCAGCTCCCCTCCGCCGCTTCGGGGTTTGCGGGGTTCTGGCTCTGCCCCTCGGAACATTTCGGAATGGGAGGTCAGAGGGCGGCCGCGGAACCTCTTGGAACTCTGCGGGCCGCGCCGCTGCCGCGCCTCTCGCTCCTATTTCTTCCTCTTCCTCCAACAATTGAAAACAAAACCCAGAACACCGTAGAAGCTACTGTACCCTGAGCCCTTCGTAAGTTCCAGGCGTTGTTCATAATCTCAGCCTGCTAACAGCCCCGCAAAATAGGTGCTGCTATTATCGACACTTTACAAATGAGGAAGCTTGAGGTTCGGAGAGGTGAAGCCTTTTCCACTACTAGTTAAGTGGCAGAACTGAGATTCGAACCCTCTTAACCACTCCCTTCTACCACCTACCACTTCTCCCAGCAGAGATGTAATGTGGACATAGGCGTAGGGCCCCGAAGTATGATGGGCAATTCAAGAAACTGATGTAAGGATGAGCTAAATTGCTCTAAAGGTAGGGACTCGGGTTTTTAAGTCTCTGTGGTATCCAGTATACAGTCATTCCACGTTTACTCATTGAGTGAATGACTGAATGGTAACTAATGAATAAAAGTGCGTGAAGTGAAAAAAGCCCAGAGTAGGGGTTCAGGTAACCAGAGCTCTCAGGAAAATGGGTGTGCCTGGGGTTTTGAGGGAACCTGGATGAACCAGAAGTCAGGACACTGGGTTTAGTTCTTGCCCTGCAGGATTTGAAATTACTCATCTCTTTAGGCCCCTGATTCTTCCACTGCTGAGTAGATAGAATCTCTTATGCTCGATACTCAGCTCTCTCTAAATGAAATTTTAACTCTTCAACCAATTCTGAAGAGCTGAATGTTTTAAGGGCTGACTCTTACTACTTAACAAGGACCAGGGGCACCTGGGTGGCTCAGTCGTTAAGCATCTGCCTTCTGCTCAGGTCATGATCCCAGGGTCCTGGGATCGAGCCCCGCATCGGGCTCCCTGCTCTGCAGGAAGCCTGCTTCTCCCTCTCCCACTCTTCCTGCTTGTGTTTCCTCTCTCACTGTGTCTCTCTCTGTCAAATAAATAAATAACTTAAAAAAAAAAAAAAAAAAAGGACCAGACAACGTGAGGTGCTGGGGGGGAGGGGGCGGGGGAGGACTTCTTAAAAAAAAAAAAAAAAAACTTGTTCAGAAGTATGATTCAACATCCAGGCTGGTGCATGAGAGTGGTTAAAAATACATGCTAGTTATCCTTAAGGCCCTTTGGTGACCTGGAATGAAACTACCAGGAAACTTTTCCTGACTCTGCTTAGCCCTTGGCCGTTGATTTAGGGAATTCAGTGTAACAGCTACTTTATGTTCTAGATAGGCAGCGTAGTGGAGTGGAAAGCTTTGTGAGCTGAGAATTAACAGGTGGGGCTCTTTTTCTGGCTCCTCCTTTAACCAGCTCTGTCACTTCGGCAAGTGCTCCCTCTTCTCTGGACTCCTTCAGTTCCTTAGTTATCAGACCGCTCCAATTAGTTTTGCCCTTTGTCCTTCCCGGTGCACATGTGAAAGCACTTTGGGTAACCTAGACAGCTTGGCAAGAGTAGGAGACGCTTCTCTTTATCTTGCCTCTGCAGACCTTGGAGGTCCACTTATTAGGAAGTCTCAAAATTGATGAGAGAACCTGTGCTTACTTGATAAGTACCTTTTGAACTGCTTTGCACCTGTCCTCTTCCAGTGTCCACCTTTCTGAAAAGTCAAGTCAGACTTTATACCTGCAGGGCTTGTGCTGGAAAAAGATGAAATGGGGGAAGTGGTAAGAAATATCAGTTCCAAACTGAAACCTCCCTTTCAACTCTTTTCTATCCCCAGAATTTAAAAAGAATAGTGGTTGAGCAAAGTAAAACTGTTTTTGTTCATTTACTTATTCATTCAGCAAGCAGTCACTGAGTTCCTTTTGGTTGCAAAGCACTGTGCAGGGTGATTTGAAAAGATCAGAACTGTGGATGACACAGACCCTGGATCCAAGGAGCTCACCTTCTGGTTGAGAGAAGAAAGGGTGTAAAGTGTTGTAGACATTCAGTGCTTCAGATATTCAGAGGAGTCCAGCTGGTTGGGGAATCTGGGAATCTTCAAGAAGGGGGGGCATACGGTGATGGGTATTAAGGAGAACACTTATGCAGCTGGCCGGTTAGCTCAGTTGGTTAGAGCATGGTGCTGATAAGAACACTTATAGCATGGAGCACTGTTACACGCAAACAGTGAATCATGGAACACTGCATCAAAAACTAATGATGTAGGGAATGGTGACTAACATAACATAATAAAATAAAATTTAAAAAAGGCGGGGAGCATAATTTGAGCTGGACCTCCTAGAGTGAGTGGGAGGGTGATGACCATGGCATCTCTGTTCCAGCCCCATAAGCTGCTCAGCCCTGGATCCCAGTAGGTGACAGCCTAGGATCTGTCATAGGTGGTGGACCAGGGAGCAGTCCCCCTTGAATCAGTTCTCCAGGTCTTAGGTATTAACTCTGATATGCCCAAAACTGCCTGTGAGATCAGAAGCCCTGTCATCCAGGACGGGAACAACAGCCATAGATCCCCAGCGTCCCTTTTCACCCTAAAAGTGGTGAAGACTGGTTGCCATTCTCCCCTCTTTGCTCATGTTATTCCCTCTGCTTGGACTATACTTTTTTTTTTTTTCCCCTGTGCCACCTGGCAAATTCCTCATCATCTAAACCTCAGTTCATGTCTCCTACCACCACCAGCTCCTCAGGCCGCTATAGTACATGTAAACTTCTGTTAAAGTACTTATCTTTCCATGTTAGGGTTACTTCTGTACAAGATTTTCGGGGGCAAGAATACTTAATTTATGTCTATATCTCCGGTCCCTGGCACGGTGCTTAGCAAAAAGGAGGTACTTAAAGTAAATGTTTAATGAGTGAACGAACAAATGCAGTCAAGAACCCTGGTAATGACTGGTAGTTTTAATAAGATGATTGCATTCTAACTGCCATCTGTTCATTTACCAACTGTATCTTTGGTTCTAGGTGTCAGTAATTAACACTGTGGACACCTCCCATGAGGACATGATTGTAAGTATTCCTTGAGCCTTCCCTTTTGGGCTATAGCTATGGGCATTTCAGTGCAGGGGAAACATTTCTGTTGATCATTCATGAATCCAGTGTGGCTTTGCACCCTTGAGTCAGGCTGTGGCCTCAACATATGGTCAGTCTCCCAGCAATGCCTGCCATGTTGGCAGGGCTGGGGCATTCTGGTCACTCTCTGGTAGGAGGAACCTAGGAATGGTTTATGGCTCAAGTCCCTCAGTCTCCAGGCCAACAAAGTAACCTGCTCTGGGATGTAGGCTAAGCCAGTGTGAAACTTTTGACAGTAGTCTCTTCCCACCTGCCTTCCCCATGCTGCCACTGCTTAGCCCCTTTGGAAGGGGGGCTGAAAGAAGAGAGAATGGGAAGGTAACTTAGTACAAGGGCAAAGAGCAGGCACAGTGAAAGCCCAGAGCAGAGCCAGGTAGGACCACCACAGACAGTGGGCCAGGCAAAGCCCTTTGAACCAGAAGTCATTAACTCAGGGCGTTTCCTGAGAGATAAATACGGGGCTCAGTATCAGAGGACAGGGCGGTGGGAGAAGGTCCAGAGGTTAAAGTCCCTAGCAGCAAAGATGCAGACTCTGCTTCATGCAGGGCCAAGCAGTCCAGGCAGCCTTTGAGCAAGACTCTGGTCAGTCAGCTTACAGCATTTCATCTCAGGGCTCCTGCCCACCAATGGTTGCTTTTCATCTTCTGAGAGGTGGCCTGGTCTCAAGTTGTATATGTTTCCTGAATACAGTCATTTAACCACACCTTCTTGGAGACAGTGTGGTAGCTTGGGTAAGAAAATCCAATCTGAGACTCCCTAGCCAATTCCTGAACTCTTCCTGAGCCGGCCTTGATTTCCTCATAGCTAAAATGGAAAAAATAATGGATATGCTACCTACTTGTGTAGTTTGGGTTTGAGAAACAGATGAGGCAAAATAGCAACGGCTGATGTCTGCATGTTCACTAAGTGTCAGACCCCATGCCATATACTTTCATTCAGTGTCTCAGTGAACCTTCATAACAACCCTTAAAGTAGATGCCACCATTAGCCCCATTTAAAAAGAAGGAAACTGAGGTTCGAGGAAGTTACATCATTTTTTCCAGACAGCAGGGTAAGGTAAGGAGGTAGGATTTAAATCTTTTAGGTACTGGGCCTTACTTCCTCCTAAAGTGTGTGGCAGCACTCTGCAGGAGAAGTACCTAAGAAATCTAAACACTTGCAGTGCATCTCTTCCAAGAAGCCAAGACCTAGCATAGTGGGGGGGTTGACTTCCAAAGAAGAGTCAGGATGTTTTTCTCAGGGGGGTGAGGAAGGAATGTTGAAGCAAACAGAATGACTGCTTCTGTTGAAAGGATGTCAGTTGTTCCTGAGTACCAAAAGAGTGACAGCTGATAGTTCCTGACAGCCCCAAGGTGAGACAGCTGAGGAAGATGCCACCTGTTGGAATAGGCAGCAAAGAGGAAGGACCAGGATGTGCAGTGGGACAGCAGGCCTTGAGGCTCAGAGGAACAAGATAGACAAGAGCTGTAGGCAGAGACCGGCCCTAGGTCTACATGGCCAATCAGCATCGAGAAGGTTGGCTCATCAGTGGTGGGACTAGTGACATTTAAGGCATGGGTGGAGAGTCTGGGGTACTGGACATACTACTAGGAAAAAGGTCTAGTAAAAATCCAGGAACAAAGGTCCACAAAGGATCTAGGGCCATGGGTGGAGGAAGGAGCCCAAGCCAGATGTGCATTGTGGAGGACCTCACTGGGCCCTCCGGGCCCTCAGAGGCTGCTCCTCTGCATCAGCGTTAGCCCCAGGGTCTGGGGCTGAGCTGAACCTGCAGCTCAACAGTAGCCCACAGAGCCTCAGAACATGGTGGGGCCTGAGGAAGGAAGAAGAAAAAGGAGGCTAGCTAGCCACTGTTTCGTCTCCCATACCCACCATACAGAATAGGATTGGAAACGGCTTCCCCTGTGTATGTAAAGGGTCTGAAAGCAGCTAGGTATGGTTTTTTTTGTCCCTTTCAGAATGACATGGCCTGTCTTGAGAAATGGAATGTCGAGATGCTAGCTTGTTGCCTGATAGTGATGCTGCTTTGAGGTTAGATTAATTTCAGGTGAACTCTGGTCCAAACTAGATTCTGTCCTGGTGACTCCCCCACTCCCATCCACCCAGCCTGCAGGCTTCCCAAGCTATCCTCCCTTTGCAGCACGATGCCCAGATGGACTACTATGGCACCCGCCTAGCAACCTGCTCATCAGACAGGTCTGTCAAAATCTTCGATGTGCGAAATGGAGGACAGATCCTCATTGCCGACCTCAGGGGGTGAGTGCAGCCAAGTCTGGGTGAGGTTCTCAGAATGGTTGGGTTTCTCAGACATGGCAGGAAAAGCTGAGAACCCAGATCAGAGGAGCCCCACAGTGCATTTAGCAGAGAGGACACACCGGTCCCAGCCAGGCAGCTGTCCTCAGCAGGATGAATCCCAACTTGGCTTCCCAAAAACCCACCAGAAGACCTTGGGTAAGAGTCAGTCTACCTCTCGAAGACTTCATCTGCTCACCCTCACAGTGGGGTGTTGCTGCCTCCTCCCGGGTAGAGCCTGTTCACAGCATGTCTTCAGTAGCTACTGCTGCTTTTAAAAGTGGGAAAGAACTTTTTGGTTTTTTGGTTGTTTTTTTTTTTTAAGTTTAGCCAACATGATCTAAAGTGTCACTCAAAGGCAACAATGTAAGAATAATGTTAATGTAATAAAAAGAAGAATAATGTTAATGTAAGAATGCATTAGTAATTACATAAGTCCTATAATTTTGCCTATTTGCATGCCCACGGCAGATACTCAGTGAATATTTACAAATGTTTGCTTTCCCCTCTCCCTACAAGATTCTTGAGATCCTGGCTCATTTTTATGGCTACCCCTCTACTGCTTTCCCCCAGCCCACTGCCTTTCAAATAAATAGGAGTTCTTAACCTGGGTTCCACAGATCTCCGAGGGTTCTGTGGATAGAATTCAGGGGCTGGTGAACTGGGGCTGAGAAAAAAAAATCACATCTTTATTGTCAGTGACTCAGCTAGTTAGCATTTCCTTCAATGATGGATGTAGGCCAGAAACGACAGTAGTATTCCGAGCACCTGGAACTTTGTTACCAGTAGAAGACACAGATATCTTCGTATCACATTCCAGCTACAGTTTTCTCAAAATAGCACTTAGGCTTATCACTACTTTGAAGTGAGAGTGGTTATTAGACCTGCCACTAGAGCTTGTTAGTTAATGTGCTAACAGAGAAGCACATGTATCACTATATTATAAATCCGTCTTTAACATTTTAAATACATATTAGTGTATTTCATTATAATTGGCTTTCCTTTATAATCCTAGCTCCATGTGTTGTAGCCATTATTCTGAGAAGGGACCAAAGCCTTCAGCAGACTGCACAGGAGAAATTAAGAGCCCTGACAAGTAGGAGCTCGGTACACGGTTGTTAACTGAATTAAGGCATAACTAAGTAGCCATTTGGGGAGAGGGGTGTAGAAGTCCCCCTCTCCCTGAGTGTCAAAAATGGAGTGACTGAGGGGTCAGATGCTACTGGCCCTGTGCAGCCTGCTGCCGGCCCTGCCAGAGGAGGTCACACCTGCCCTGTTTTTCTTAACACTGAAAAGATGTGCACTGTCAGAGGGATAAAAAATTCACACCCCCTTCTTTTTTTGCCTCAGTTTAATATACTTTTTTTTTTAATATATATTTTTTTAAGATTTTATTTATCAGAGAGACAGAGGCAGGCAGAGGGAGAAGCAGGCCCCTTGCTGAGCAAGGAGGCCGATGTGGGACTGAGCTGAAGGCAGACGCTTAACCGACCACCCAGGCGTCCCTTTTTGCCTCAGTTTAAACTATTGCTAGGTGCAGGACATTTTCGTCTCCTGAGAGTTTCCCTGGCAGCTCCTTTGTGAGGCCTGGGTATTGTCCCAGCCGGAGGGAGGAGGACACTTTTGAGTGTCTGCAGCCCTGGGTTGGAGGAGTGAACAGGGAGCAGCAATACCAGCTGACAGGCATGAATAATTTTTTCTTTTCTTGTGCCCAGCGCTGTTCCAGGCTTTTTATGTGAGTTATCACCTATATTTCCCCTCATGAGCACACTGTGAAAGAAGTCTTGCTGATATCTCCGTTAGGAGACTAAGCCATAGAAAGGACGTGGCCCATGCCTAAAGTCAAACAGCTAGAGAATGGGAGTGGGGGTGAAAGAGCTGGGACCGTCACCTGTCTGCCGTGTCACTTCTTGTGTGCTGGGTGCCCACCCTTGCCTGGGCCTGAGAGACGGCCCCAGTACAGAGCCCAGCACCGGGTCTGTGCTCAGATAGTACTCACCAGGGGAATGCATAAAGATCAGAGGAGCAGAGGAGAGACCTGACCTTAAAGTAAGAGAATAGTAGCGAACATGAAACAGTGCCTGCTCGAAAAGGTAACCCATCTGGAAGGATGAGTAGCGATTCACTCTACACATACCTCCTGAGCACTTGCGGTGCGAAGCCTGCATTGACCGGTGCGCAGATGAATAGGCCGAGAGGCTTCTCCTGAGGACGGCCCGTGTAGGTGGTGCTGGCTGCAGTGCAGGTCAGGGGAGGGAGGGGCCTGTCAGCTCGGGACAGAGAGGCTCAGAGTCCTGGTTTGTTCTCAAGGCCTCTGTGACGTCTGGGCCTCAGGATCTTCAGTGCCCAACAAAGGTCTCTTTTGGCAGTGACTTCCTATAGCTCTCCCTTCTGAAATTCTCAGGCAGCTCTGTCCTGAGATGCTGTATCTGCCTACCAAGAACGCCATTCAGGTCCATCCAGGGTAGTGGCTGGCAGAGCACTGCAGGTTCCTGTGACCCATCTGAGCAGCCTCTGACCCTGTCCCCTTGTAGTCATGAGGGTCCTGTGTGGCAAGTGGCCTGGGCCCACCCCATGTATGGCAACATCCTGGCATCCTGCTCCTATGACCGGAAAGTCATTATCTGGAAGGAGGAGAATGGCACCTGGGAGAAGACGCACGAGCACACAGGACACGACTCCTCAGGTACAGTGAGTGTGGTAGGAGCAGGTGGGCGGGGCCTTGTTGCCTGGCTGCCACTCCCATGCCCTTCCCCTCGTGATGCTCCTCGTTTGTCCCTTGGGTTTGGTTGGCTTTTCTGTCATCTGTCCACAGCAGAGGTAAGGCCCTGAGACCTAAAGCCAGTCTAAAGCGAAATAAGGAAAAAACAACACAGTGAGGTGTGTGTTTGGTTTTTTTTAATTTTATTCGTTTTAAGTACTGGCCTTTATTTTCAGATTATTGTCTACTTTTTTTCCTAGTTTTATTAATTTATTTTTACTAACGTATGGTGTTATATTGGTTTCAGGTATATATTATGATTCATATTTCTATCCATTACTCCATGCTCATTACAGTAAGCGTACTCTTAATCCCCTTTATCTGTTTCATCTCATCCTACTTTTTGTTAAGGTTTTTGAAATTATGATATTCATAGGTGATAGGTTTTTAAAATCTCGTTATCTTCCTCCTGGTGATCCCTGCAATTTTTTATTTTAAAAATTTAGTAAAATGGTAAACCTGGGAAATCAAAGTCGGCTAACTATGCCTCTCTCCTTCCTGCAGTAAACTCTGTGTGCTGGGCCCCCCATGACTATGGCCTAATATTGGCCTGTGGGAGCTCGGATGGGGCCATCTCCCTGCTGACATACACCGGAGAGGGCCAGTGGGAAGTGAAGAAGATCAACAATGCTCACACTGTAAGTCCAGACCTTGCTGTGTGTGGAGGGTAGCTCTGCGGCCTTGCCATGTGTCTCCTGGAGACTCCCTAGAGAGGTGGCAGGAGTAGTGTCACTGCTGTGCAAGGGGCTGGGGAGGGAACGATGCTCAGACATGCTTGGTGGGTCAGTTTCGAGCCTCTTTAGCCTGAAGCCAGACAGACACTGCATCCAGGGAGGCCAGGCTGTACCAGCCTCATTCAGCACAGGGCAGGGGGTTGGCACGGGTTCCTCCTTGCAGGCTCCCAGATCGGGGAGGGTCAGGGCATTGGCAAGGTGGCAGCAGCAGCCTGTCTCCCTGCCACCTTTGCTGTGGACACTTCAAGTTGACATGCTTGCAGTGGTCATTGAGACCCCCTAGAACTGAGTGGCGTTATAAAGAGAGCATCATAGGAATTCAGTTCCTTGCACTTCCAGTCATTAGATGCTGAAATAGTCAAGAAAGCACTATGGACAGGAAATATCTCACAGTACTTGAGCCCCCACTGTGTGTCAGTCATGTAATCCTCACAAATGTCTGTAAATGAAAGAAGAAACTACCAAATGTACAGACTTGCAAGGTAAGCAGTCCTGTTCCCATTTTATGATGAGACAGATGAGGTTCAGAAAAAGTAAATGACTTAGAGAAGGTCCTGTGCCGGGGTTAGAGTCCAGAATCTGTGTGCCTTCTCACTAGACAACAGTTCCAGCTTTGGTGGCCCCAGATACTTCTGAAATCTACCCAGATGGAAACTTAGTAGCTCCCCAGCTTGACACTGTACTTATGTACTTCTCAAATTCAGGGGATCCACAGCCTGTGCAGCCCCTAAGACCCCAGGAGCCTATCTCAGAATCTTTACTTGAGGTGCTCAGATTCCCATCTACTGACTGACTTGCCGACATGAATAGGCTGAGAGGCTTCTGGGAAGATGTTGGGGAGTGGCATCACAGCTTTTCAGTCTTTCCTCATCTCTCCATAAAAACCCACAGAGCAGCTAGATAGCACAGCCAAAACCTCATGAACATTTTGAGCAAAACTAAGTAACAAGGTATTTCCACAAACTCCAAAATAGAAGCAGAGAGGAATAAACCAGCAACAACCACAAGACTGCATGGTATTGGTATCTGAGCAGGAGGAAGCAATGGGGTGCCTTCTAGCAGATCTGTGAAGGCAAGTACTGCCAAAATAGCCAGCAAGGATTCACTGGAAAGCATAGCTGGCCAGTTTTTTGTTGTTTTGGGGTTTTCTTTAAAGATTTTATTTATTTATTTGTCAGAGAAAGAGAGAGGCAGGCAGAGGGAGAAGCAGGCTCCCCGCTGAGCAATGAGTCCAATGCCGGACTCGATCCCAGGACCCTGGGATCATGACCTGAGCCGAAGGCAGCCACTTAAAACGACTGAGCCACCCAGGTGTCCCATAGCTGGTCAGTTTAAGAACAGCAGCTGAAACTAGGAGAAGTTTGGGGGTTTCTTTTGTTTTTAACCTTTTTTTTAAATTGATATACAATTGGGGCGCCTGGGTGGCTCAGTCGTTAAGCGTCTGCCTTCAGCTCGGCTCATAATTCCAGGGTCCTGGGATCGAGCCCCGCATCGGGCTCCCTGCTCGGCGGGAAGCCTGCTTCTCCCTCTACCACTCCCCCTGCTTGTGTTCCCTCTCTCGCTGTGTCTCTCTCTTCAAATAAATAAATAAAATCTTTTTAAAAATAAATAAATAAATAAACTGATATACAATTGACTTATCATAAAATTCACCCTTTTTAAAGTGTACAGTTCTGTAGGCTTTCGTATATTCACAAAGTTGTGCAGCTATCACTGTTCATTTTCAGAACTTTTTCATCACCGCAAAAAGAATCCTCATTAGCACTTCCTCTCCACTCTGCCCCCTACCTAGGCAGCCACCAATTTACTTTCTGTGTGGATTTGCCTATTCAGGACATTTCCTCTGAGTGGGATCCTACAACACAGGCATACCTTGGAGCTGTTGTGGGTTGGTTCCAGACCACTGCAATAAAGGGAATCAGGAATTTTTTGGTTTCCCAGTGCATATAAAAGTTACATTTACACTGTCTTACAGTCTTTTAGGTGCAATCATAGCATTGGGTCTAAAAAACAGTGTATGTACTTTAATTAAAATTTACTTTATTGCTGAAAAATGCTAAGAATTATCTCAGTGGTCACCGAGTTGTAATACTTTTTTACTGGTGAAGGGTCTTGCCTCAGTGTTTGGCTGCTGACTGATCGTGGTATTTGAAGGCTGGGTGGCAGTGGTAATTTCTTAAAATAAGACAGCACTGAAGTTTCACACATCAGTTGACTCTTCCTTTCACAGACGATTTCTCTATAACGTGCAATGCTGTTTGATAGCATTTGACCCACACTAGAACTTTTAAAATTGGAGTCCATCCTCTCAAACCCTGCTGCTGCTTTGTCAACTAAATGTATGTAATATTCTAAATCTTTTGTTGTCATTTCAACAGTCTTCACAGCATCTTCAGCAGAGTAGATTCCATCTCAAGAGACCACTTTCTTTGCTCATATATAAGAAGCAGTTCCTCATCTTGTCAAAGTTTGATCATGAGATCACAGCAATTCAGTCACATCTTCAGGCTCCACTTCTAATTCTAGTTCCCTTTCCACCACATCCATAGTCACTTCCTCCCCTGAAGTCTTGAACCCCTCATAGTCATCCATGAGGGTGGGAATCAACTTCTGTTTGTGTTGATATTTTGGCCTCTTCCATGAACCATAAATGTTCTTAATGACATCTAGAATGGTGAATCCTTTCCAGAAGGTTTTCACTTTACTTTGCCCGGATCCATCAGAGGAATCACTATGGCAGTTATAACCATATTATAATAATAATTAAATAATAGGACTTCAGAGTAGAAATTACTCCTTAATCCATGGAAATTGCTGAATGGATGTTGTGTTAGCTGGCATGAAATTGATATTAATCTCGTACGTCTCCATCAGAGCTCTTGGGTGACCAGGTACATTGTCAGCGAGCAGTAACATTTTAAAGGAATCTTTGAGTAGTAGGTCTCAAGAGTGGGCTTAAGATACCCAGTAAACCGCATTGTAAACAGATGTGCTGTCATCCAGGCTTTGTTGTTCCATTTATAGATCACAGGCATAGTAGATTTAGCATAATTCTTAAGGACCCTACCATTTTCTGGATGGTAAATGAGCACTGGCTTCAACTTCAAGTCACCAGCTGCATTAGTCCCTAACAAGAGAGTCAGTCTGTCCTTTGAAGCTTTAAAGCCAGGCAAGTCCTAGATGGCATCTTCCAATAGAAGGCCATTTCATCTATGTTGAAAATCTGTTGTTTAGTGTAACCAGCTTCATTAATGATCTCAGCACGATCTCCTGGATAACTTGCTGCTGCTTCTATATTAGCACTTACTGCTTCACCTTGCTCTTTTATGGAGACGGCTTCTTTCCTTCACCCTCATGAACCACCTCTGCTAGCTTCACACTTCCCTTCTGCAGCTTCCTCACCTCTCTCCGCCTTCACAGAATTAGAGAGAGTTAGGGCCTTGCTCCCCATTAGGCTCTGGCTAAGAGAATGTTGTGGCTGGTGTTCTCTTCTCTCCAGACCTTCTCCTGCCTTCTCCATATCAGCATTCAGGTTGTTACACTCTCTTATCATTTGTGTGTTCACTGGAGTAGCACTTTTCATTTCCTTCGAGAACTTTTCCTTTGGGGGCACCTGGGTGGCTAGGTCGGTTAAGCGTCTGCCTTCAGCTTGGGTCATGATCTCAGGGTCCTGGGATCGAGCCCCACATCAGGCTCCCTGCTCGGCGGGAGGCCTGCTTCTCCCTCTCCCACTCCCTCTGCTTATGTTCCCTCTCTCGCTGTCTCTCTCTCTGTCAAATAAATAAAATCTTTAAAAAATTTTAAAGAATAGCTTATATATGTACAAAAATAAAGGTAAAAATGATGAAGGGATAGAATATGACTGTAAAGATGAATATTATAAAAGATTTTATAAAAGGAATTGATAAGTTGGTTGAAAAAAGAAAGAAGAGAAATTAAAAAAAAAAGGGAGAGAATGTGATCAGGCAGGAGACTAGAACAAAGCCATACACTAGAGACTTAGGGTATATTTTGGTCTGTTAGAAGAAACTGTATCCCAAAATTTTAAAGAGAGAACAACTTAGATATATACAAAAAATAAGGTTAACTACAATGAAGGGATAGAATATGACTCTAAAAATGAAAAATAAAAAAGATTTTTTAAAAAGGGATTGATAAGATGTTGGTTGAAAAAGGGAAAAAGAAAAATTCAAAAAAAGAAAAAGAAAATTAAAAAAATTAACTTTGAAAGACTAAAGAATCATGGTAAAAAAAAGCCATGAATTCTATGTGCAGTATTCCCCTAGCGCTGGAGTTCTGCCGTTCTCATGGATCGGTAAACTTGGTCTTGGCTGGCTGTTCTTGCTGATCTTCTGGGGAGGGGCCTGTTGCCGTGGTTTCCAAATGTCTTTGCCGGAGGCGGAATTGCCCCACCCTTGCCCCCTCCCAGCTAAGTAATCTGCTCGGGTTTGCTCTTGGGAGTTTTTGTTCCCTGCAAGCTTTCCCTTCAGCTTTGGAGGCCGAGAGTGAAAATGGCGGCCTCCCAATCTCCGCCCCGGAGGAGCCAAGAACTCGGGGCCCTGCTCCTCAGTGCGCCCCCAGAGAAAAGCAGTCAGTCACTCCCATCTCCCCGGTCTCCGGCCGCACTCCATGCTCACCCGGCCTGTGACCACGCATTTCTGTCTCTGGCACCTGACCCCGTGTAGAGTCTCCAAACCCAGCAGATCCCTGTGGTGCGCTCCCACGCGACTCCTCCCGGGGAAAGAAGGGGAGTCTCCCTGGATCTGCTGCTTGTTGGGTCCCTGCTGGAGGAGCAGTGGCCCGACTGTGCTGCGGATCACAGTTTATGGCAACCCTGAGCTGAGAGCCCATTCCTCGGCTCCGTCTCTGCAGTCGGCTTCCCCACTCCGATACCTGGGAGCTCT